TGTGTTCCTTATTGTCAGGACAAGGTTTGTATATAAGAAAATTTATAAAAAGATATTATTTCTAAAAGAAAGTGTATATTGCGGTATGAAGTTCGCCGGGTCAGCTAGTAGGTAATAAGATCTAAAATGTTTCTATAATGCCGTTATATTAAATATTTGAAAACTCGCCATTCAACTTAATTCATCATCGAAAAAGCATTTGTAAAAAGACAGACCGTAGACAATTTAAAATACGGTAAAATAGATAAGTCCTTAAAAATAATGTATAATAAATAAACGTTTAAACTACTCTGCTATTCTGTTAAAACGGTTTTTATAACACGATCGGTATTATTAGATAGGAATTTTTGTTTCCTAAGAAACCTTCACTTTGAGTCACGCTGTATGTTGATAAAAATCGCATTAAAATCTTTGGGTAGTGTATAGGATCTCAGCATACAGACAGCGGGAAGGGATTTTCCTTTACTATCTGTACTTTATTCAAACGAACATTTAATTGATATAAGTTTTTGTTATCGAAACTTACCTATACGAGACATTAATTAGGTCTTATTAATATTAATTAAAATAAAAGATTTAATGATAAATATACATTAAAATATGCACCTACTATTAATTCACATTAATTAATATAATTTATTTTGATATATATAATAGGTATGATTCTTTCGTATATTTCTTATATTCTTGTACCACAGACCGTATTTGTACCGGCTTCTAATAATTATAGTTGATCTTTATGCTTCAAAGAAAACATCTTCAAAATCTTCAGATCTATATTGCATCTCAATATACAGGAAGGTTTATATTTATAATACAGGGCTGGCGCTGGCGAAAAGGTAGAGTAGTTTATAACATTATAACATATTGATTGACTATTTTTTTTTTTATTTCTTTATTTATTATTATTTATAAACAGTTAAAATGCGATAAAGCCGTTTAAAAGTACCTAGTTTTATTAATAAAATATTGAATTTTTACCATCCAGTATATATATATTTTTACTGTAATTTAGTAACCTTAAAATTGTACCGCGAAATTGATTAAAGTATAAACAATCTAAAATAATTTAATTGACCAACACGAACAATCTGTTTCTAAAGAAATTCAGATATTTAGTTGTAATAGTTTCAGCCAGAACGAACGGCGATTGTCAAGAGAAACTCTTAGACATTTTATACAGGTAATATTGTAGTTACATTGTGTTGTAACACTTTAACAATAGATTCATTGTTTGGTTACAAGCTAAGGCATTGTTGTGATACTTCGAAATTTTTATTTTTAACGCACAATACGGAAGTAAATATTGGTCAAGATTTGTAATCTCTTGATGTGAACAAGCATTCATCTAGAAGAGGAGTAGTTAATTATTTATGGACATTTTTTTTATTAATGTTTAGTTTTCAAAACATACAGTTTAAATATGAAATAAGAAAAATGAAACAGCCGACGCTAATAAGGCCTACTGAAGTACTAAATACCGCTATGACAGATGGAGTATTAAATATTAAACAGTGGGCTTTATTAGGTAACAGCACCTTATTTCAACAGTTTTATTGAAAATTTATTTGTATAAAAAAATTGCTTTGTGTATGCGTAATGGCGACTGTGAGAAATATTCTTTTATTTAAGAACAATACACAATTCCTGAGTATGAAAATGTCATGGTTATTGTCGTAAAAGAAAAACAAATGTTCGTATCTATATATGCTGGGGCGATATGAAGTATAATAATACTGGTATTATAAAAATATAGGCTCCCAATGATAATTTTAAAAACATTTACATGTATTTTGGTAGATATATGACGTATGTTGGTAACACTGTTGTTAACCATGTTCATTATTAAAGTAAAATGAAACAAAATAGCGCTATAACAGCGGTAAGATGTTGTTTCCTATGGCTTAGTTATAATTAGAGTTAGGCGGATGCTCTGCAGTTAGAGGTTGTTTTTATTATAATAGAAAAGCACTGCCGATTCTTTCTTTCTTGTTTCATATTATCAGCTCGCATTCAAATTGGTGCATTTTACATACTGTTCACTGCAACACTAAGAGACACTGAACACACTAGTTATTTTTATTTAAGATTTATATTCAATGTACAGACTTAACATCCTCTACAATGTATAGATTTATTTAGGATTGCACTCAAAGATAAAAGAGAAAACAAAATAAACGCACCCGTTTAGTGAGATGATGGCTCCAAAAATACTATTTTGAATTAATTACTCGCATACCTCTACGCTTATTGTAAAGCTACTTTAATTTTCCGGAGCGATAGAAATTGAGTTACCTATATTTATGATCTTTAATGAGTACAACGTAGACACAGGATTTAATGAGACTTGTGACAACTTTAGGATGCCAAAATGAAACTATAATATGTGGCTAAACCAGTGATTCCCTAAGTGGTCAAGGTGGACCCCCAGGGGTCTACGAGGGATTCAACGGGGGTCTACGTTGGCGTGAATTTCCATCGTTAGATCTTCATATTTTGGACAAATTTTGGAATATGGTAAAAATTTAGCAGCAGGGGGTCCACCGATACCAGTTAATTTTTTTAAATGTTCTACGAGAAAAAATTGTTTAGGAACCTCTGAGCTAAACTATACTAAGATAAAACATATTTATATCAGACAACATCACATACAATGCTAAATATTCCATAGAGAGATATTATGTCCAAGGGAATATATTCGGATTATTCCCATAGTTAGGTATTAGTATTAGGTATTAGTATATTGGTTTTACCTAGCATGCGTGTCTGAGTTTAACCGAGTCTCTTATATATATATATGCTTTTAATAATATTAATGTTAGATTTGTAACGGAATTAAAAAGAATAGTTAATATGATAGACATCAGCTCATTATCATTGATAAATTGAATACAAAAAACCGTTTATCAATCTTAATTGTTTTACGTCACGTAAATCACGACTTTCGCGGAATTGATTTTCTGTAATCTATAAACAAAGCTAAGACCGTGTGGAATTTGGTTGCCATCGTCTCTGAAGTTGGATATAGATAAATATTCAAATGTATAAGAATTAATAATATAGTATCTTTCAGATTTATTGGTAAGATAAACTTTTGTTAAAAATACTTTTACTAAAAATATATTTTAAAAAAACTTATGTTAGGCTTACAACACGTATATGTATCAAAAATGAACATATTAATAAAGTAATATTAAGACAGAAATATTAACTATCTATTTGTATATTCAGATCAGACCAGCCCCCTTACTCTTGACATTGCAATTGTGTTCCCGTACTCTTAATTGGGTACACTAGCGCCACAGTACGCTAGTAATAAGCCAATCAAGAGTGCGTACCGGTAAGAAAGTTTTTAATATAGAAAAATTTAATACGAAAAATGTTAGCTAGATAAAAATTATAGTCTGTTTCCATTGTTGTAATTGTTTGTATGATGACACATCAATAATAATTTAATAGTTGATGCTCAATATATGCAAAGACGTGATTATGCAACTAGAAAAAACTCACTAAATACTAGTAAACTATTCAAAGAATTAAGACTCGTCATTAGACGTCAACCAATGCCACTTTATTTAAAACACCTAATAAAATAATCTGATAACTTAATAAACTTAAAGGTTCATGCTGTCTTCACTAATAGGTACAGTTAACTGCATTTCAGACGATATATAACTGTCAAATTTTCCCACTCGATTTTAAACCTTAATTCATTCAGGTTAGAAGTTAATATCCATTACAGAAATTTTACATATTGTGGTAACGTGGTAAATCATGAAAACGGTCAAGGTCTTGTCGTATAAATCATTAATTTCCACGTAAACAGACTATAGTATGTTAATGATCTATGAAGATGTCACAAAAATCAGGACGACTTTAAATTCATTTAAATGAATAATTTTTAAAGGGATACTTCTTTATCGCGTTTTCTCCATTATTGGACATGACGTGTTAATGATTAACTACCTCTAAATTAAGCCATATCAAACCAAAGATTAGACGATCATGACTGTATCTGATGCACGATAGTTGAGTTATTTCAGTAAAAATAACATCTAAATAAGCTGCATTATAAATGATAAAAATTTAAAAAGTAATTTGTAAATTTTCTCTATAGAAGAAGATTACAAAGTTACTAATGGTAACTTTGCATTTTTTTAAATTCACATCGTTTTTTTCATTTCTTGTTGTTATATTTCACTTTTTATAGGGAATAAAAGAGTAGATAAATATATGAAACACTTTGTAAAATTTTGCAGAACTTTTTATAAAAGTCTTACTTAACAGATTAGCGAGTAATAAATTAAAAACCATTTTCGTCACGCAATTTTCCATTCTCTATCCCTGTTTATTGCCGGTCACAATGAGATACACCTAGGTACTGGATGAGGACAGTCTATAGCTTTATGCTACTTTTTGCATATTTTTTTAATAAATCTTTATTTGTTTTTTGTTTATTAAAAAAAAATATTCAAATAATGTAGAAATAGGTGATCATGGTATCTGTTTACTTATATTGTAAATATTAAGCAAGCATCATATCATTTATACTAATATATAAGTAACTGTCAGGGGTAATGCTAAGACTACGAATGCTTCTAAATATATTATATGGAAGTGAAATATATTCACAAACATTTTACTCAAATGATTTCTTACTGTTTCTTTTCAGTAAATACGTATTTATATTCTAGGAAAAAATTGTGATACAATACCACACATTCACAATATATTATGTGGAATAATATAATGTCTAGCGTCGACGAGGACAAATTGAGTAAAAATTTATGCTTATATAATTTTTACTCAGAATTACCTCTATTTTAGTGATGTCGTTAAAAGAATAATATGATATGACTTTTAAAGATTCTCCGTATTGAATTGATTATTATATGACATTGTTGAATATTTTTCTACATATTTCCTTGTTTTCCTTGTTACTACTACGTAACAAAAATAGTAATAATGATTACGGCTTACCATTAGTCGTAAATATTTTTTTTTATTGCTTGTTCATTAAGATTGCAAAAGTCGTGCCGATGATTGAAGTAATATTAAATTGGGTAATGTTTTTATTGCAGATGTTCCCGGCTTTAATTTGCAAAAAATACAAATGGAGCAAATTGGGAAAAGCTCAGACTGGGGTGACAGTGGTAAGCATTGTTTTTTTTTTTATTTGAAGTATCAATCTATTTAAAATTAGCGGTAATTATTTTGAGAATATTCTGTTAGCTGCCATTTTCTGCAGTGTGGGCAGTTGCCCCAGAGACCAGTAGCAGGGGAGTATAAAATAAAATTCAGTTAAAGAGATTTAGAGTTGCACTTGATCTTGTAGCTCGTTATGTCCTTTTTTGTAGCTCAGAACCACCTTTTGCAAGAATTGGAAAGTATTGTTTATCTCCTTGTCAATCCATTGGCATGCTATCGCCTATTAGCTATCTTTATAGATCTAGCAAATAACGATTCTAGGTGACAGAAAAGGTTTACAGCTCAACGCAGAATAAGATGACCGTTGTCATAGAATTTTTCACGTTGCCTATTTCTTATACATGACTTGGATTTTTTCCAGAGTTGTTTGAGCCAACAATGGACCCTAATATATCAGTATCGGTGATAGAAGAGAAGGTGCCTACTCTAACTGTAGCTGCAATCGTAGGAGTTACCGTGGTGATACTCATTGCCATCGCTGCAGTTTTCCTGTTAGGTGTTCTTATGGATTGGAGGCAGCAGTAAGTTTTAAATCTAGAATAGGTATCATTGTTTGTGATGAACAAACATAGCGAGTTCGTTCAAATTATAGCCTATGTTACCCGCGTATAATGAAGCTTTACGTAGATTTTTTTTTAATTAAGCAATAGAAAAACTGATTTATTAAGCAATAGAATAACTCATGCCCCGATAACTTTAGTCAGTTGGGAAATCAGGATTATCTTTCACCCTTGTTGGTGCGCGAGTCTTTCTTTTTAATCCTTATTATAAGTGCGGAACTTATTGCGTCGGTCTGTTACACTTTTATTGTCAAATCACTGGACTGAATGTGATTAAACCGATCTATATCAATTTAATCGCAATCAGAGATAATTTGAGGCATAGGCAATGAGATAAGAGCTCCGTTTTTTTTTTCAAAACACCAATAATAAATTTATAATTCTTGATGTGAAAGACGCAGGCAACATTTATTAAAAAGAATTATATTAGTTTAAAGTTACAAGATATTATCTTGAATTTTTAAAAAGGGATCAGAAATTTGATTACTTAATTATCAATTTTAAAAAAATCATTGACTTAAAAGTATACAAATGGTCCAATATACCCCTATAAAGGCGAAAGGTCACTCACTCACACATCAAGAAATCTCAGAAACTACAAGAACTACTTGTTATAACGTAGGCGCTCACTAAGATGGGATTTTATGAAATTAAACCCCTAAGGGAGTAAATTAGGGGATGACAGTTTGTATGAATCTTCGTTACTACAAGTGCTAGGAGTTTAAAATTGCATGCGGGTTCTTTTTAGAAAGTAGGTGCTCACTAAGAAGGGATTTTATGAAATTCAACCCCTAAGGAGGTAAATTAGGGGATGAAAGCTTTAAATGGAATTTTCTCATTGCTGAACGGAAGGCTAGTAATTGTTATATATATTAGGAAGTCGAGAAAATGGCGCGTTACTGTTTGGTTTGAGGGACATTAAATAGGTTAGGTTTCCACGAGCTCAGAACAGTCCACTTGATTCCCCATTATATTGTATCCTAAATTCATGCGACAACATATTAGTATATCAGGCATCTTTTTACGATAACGGGCCAGATGATCTAAACAGGAAGTTAGGGTTCACTTGAAGTTACTCATCCTAAACTCTAACCAGGTATGGGCAACCTTGGACATGTTGTGGGCCAAAATTTTGTGTGCAAATATGTTCGCGGGCTGCGTTTAAAAGTAGTACATTTTAAAGTATTGTTGTAGTGCTCATAATTATTTGCGATAGATATCAAACATGAAATAATAAGAAATAAAAATAAATTATGTTTTTCAAAATGTCTAACTGGCCGGCTGTTGCCCACAGTGGGCTAAAATATAAAAGGTTAAAAATGACAGCTTTATTTACAGCGTTTCGATTTATTTATAACTTCTGATTTCTTTTTTGCAAAATGTAAAAGTAGCAGATAAAATATTACATTATACTGTACCCATCAAGGTTTTTTTCACTCAATTCATGATCATCATCAGCCTATATGTCCCCACTGCTGGGACACAGGCCTTCTTTATGGATGGAATTGAATAAGGAGATTTATTGTGACCCACCACGCGGGCTCAGTGCAGGTTGGTGAGTATTAACGACCAGGGATCAACGTCTTAAAGATATGCCTTCCGAAGCATAGAGAAGCTCGAGCTAATACATTTTTGGTCACCCTTCCTATAACCGGAGTTTGCGAATATTGCACTTCCGCATTGCAGGCCGAATGCGCTAACCACTGTCGCCTCAGTTCATGGTCAACAAATTGAAATGTTGTTGTTTTTTTTTAATCAAAACATTTCCTTTCACAAACTGAAATAACGGTCACGTAATGAAATTTCTCAAGAAGTAGCGTATTAATTGTGTTTTTACATAGCTTTAATGCATATCGCGTCGACCTAAATTACCTATATCCGTTGAGAAAACAAGTTGGTGGAGATAAGCGAACTCTCTACATTAGTGGTTATTAACCTTTTAGTCTTTTTCTTTCTACCTATAAAGTCTTTTCTTAGATACAAAAAGACATGGATCCACTTGATTAAATATGCCGTACCTAAGTCTAGGTCAATAAACTATATGTAAATTTACACTAAGACTGCATTTATTATAGTCAAAATTCATATTATTAAATAGAGACTTAACAAAGGTTAACATAATACGAGGTTCTACCGGAGTAATATTTACTCCTAGAAGGTTTTATTCTCTGTTTAATATGATAATGGACTAAGACTAAAATTGCAATTTTAGTGTAAATTTACACTGATGTTAAATCTTGTTTATTGATAGCACTGTTAATGTATCTACAAATAAATAAAAACAATTATTATGTACAGTAAAATCGCTACCTTGCATAAAATATGTATGCTGAGATCTTTGAAACTACATAACGGATGGTAATGTGGCTTTCCTTTATTTACAGAGTGATTCATGAGGAAAGTTCATATGTATAGTACACGACCACAAGGCGAACCCGCTGGTAGAAAGCATGTTTATATAGTTATAATTTTATGAGGTTCCGTGGCCCACTGATTAAGAACCGATGCTCTACATACTTTGAGTCTTAGTACAACAAGAAATGAAGCAATGATTTTATTTCATGTTTCTTGATAGTAGTTTTCTGTTGAATCTATACTAATAAGGTAAAGAGAAAACTTTTCATTGTTTGTTTCCATCAAAAAAGCTCCGGAACTGCAGGACTGATTTTAAACATTCTGTCACTAACAGGAAGCTACATCATACGCGGTTAATATAACCTATACGCAGGTGAGGTCACGGGAAACAAGCTAGTGTTGTATAAAAAGAGTTTGCAACAGTCTTTTGTTTAATGATAAGTAATGATAACACAATACGTCTAAAGATAAATATTGTATAGTTCCATATGAGCCGTTATGTGTCACACTTTCTTACAAAGTTGAAATCGGGACCAAATATTTTACAAATTAGTCATTTTTTATGTTATGTAAAAATGAAAAATTGGGAAATAAAGTATTTTTGAACGAGCAGTCTTTTATTGGATTAGTATCAATGAACATTACTCTGGAGTTTTACATATAGGGATATCATATTGTTTTATACTAATATTATACACACGTAAAGTTTGTAATTTTATTTGTTTGTAGATAGTTATTTTAGGTAGTTAGAAACACACTGTGTTCTGTGACATTTGTCATGTTAACATAAACATTTGTTTTGTTTACAGGCGGATGCTCGAGAAGAAGATGGGTGAAGTAAAACGGCTTAAGAACCAACGAAGAGTTAACTCTCATCCGGAAGCCGATGACGTCAGTATATCGGCGAATATGGAAGAACCGGTAGACAGCATCGCTCCAGCAGAAATCTTACGAACCATACCGTGACATTTATTTCTTTATAATCTGATACAGTATAAACGTATGCTAATTTGATCTTTAATTAATTGTGCCAAGACTTTAAATCGTAGCAGCTATCAGCTAAATGTACATTTATCATAATGACTCGCAGATTACCTGCATACAAAGATAATTTAAGAATTATTTGTTTGTATGCACCAAATCGTCGGAATTCTAATGTTAAGGCCTTCAGTTCTGATATGTAAGCAATATTATTAGTTATTAAGTAGTCATGTTTTAGTACTTGTTGAAACATTATTCGGTGCTAAAGTAAGCACTGATTTAAATATTTCATAACTGAATCACTGATAAGATCCATGACTGGAAAATTATTTAAGTTGGACGCATTAGATGTGACTACAATGGGTATAGTAAGTCATTATTAGATTTATTCAATAGCATAATTTGTTTTCACTAAAAGCCCGGTCACCCGTCCATCAATATTAAATAACAAAATGTTTTGTACATAACTATCAACTCTATCTTAATGAATATTCAAATTTTTACATGTTATACACTTAAGTGGTCATCCCAATTATGAAGAAAAATATGCTTTATTGTATCTAAAGAATATAAAGGAGCTTTACTACAAATTATATTACCGTAATCAAATATATCTAATACCAGATTGAGGCTTAAATTGGTCGGAGAAATTTAGTCCTTCGCAGTAACCTGACATGCTACCAAATGTACATAATTATCAATTAACTAATCACAACCTACCATCCGATAAGGTCGGCGGCGTAGTGGTTAGCGCGTTCGGTGTGCGATACGGAAGCTTAGCAAATACGAGTGCTAGTAACGGGGTTGGTGACCAATAAAAAAATTTGACTACTAAAGCTTTTCTATGTTTCGGCAGGCACGTTAAGCCTTTAGTCTGCAGTCGCAACAATAACTCAGTCGGACCGCGTGGTGGGTACAGGATAGGCTGATGATGATGATCAGATCATTAGATCTTGAAAGCTAAATGTTAAATTATGTTAATATGACGAAATTTAGTTTTAATTAAAGTTTGTGTGTTTTTGTATCATCCTTTTGTTTAAATTAAATAAGTTAGTGTAGAAATAAATCAAACATTCCTTTTTAGTATAAGATAATTTAATAAGTAGACCAAAGTATACAAAATATTAAAGAATGTTAAATGAATAAAATATATAGATTTTTTTATTTTATGTTTTTTTTTCATGACCTTGTATTAATTAACTTAATTCAAAAATAATGGGATTCTCAAAGAATCGTTTAGTGGAATAAAAGTAGACTATATATTAATCTAATATCAGAATTATACGCATACCTAATTTCATCAAAATCCGTTCAGTAATTTAGAGAAAGAATAACAAACTCGCAAACTTTCACATTTATAACATTAGTAGTATTATAGGGGTATAGATAACTTTTGTTAATAATTTTATTTTATAGATATACATGTAATATATCTAAAATATAAAAATAAAAATTAATTTTCAAAATTTTCCGCAAAAACGCCACTTCTGTAATGGCGTCGCTATGACGTCACGGCATAAGGTTCAATCCTCTAATTGTAAGTTCTGATATGAGAAAGAGGGTCATGACGTCACGCGCTGTTTACGGTCACGTGACAACGAGCATGAATATCTTTGAAAAACTGAATCCACTGGGGGTTCAAACTTTTTCATTCTTTGATGAAAAACCGGACAAACGCAAATTGGAGGAAACCCTCTCTCACGGAGGGTTCCGAACAAATTTGGATTACAAATATTTCTGGAATCTAATAAAGTACATTTTGAAATATGCACATCAAGCACTTTTATAAGATTAAACAAGTAATTCACTTGAACTATTATAGTACCTTCAATATTAAATTTCGATCCATTTAAGATATATTTTGTATTAGTATTAAGATTTCTTTGACTTTCTGTAAACTGATGCTACTACCAAATTTTTTAGTTCTAGGTCAATGTTAAGTATTTCAACTCTTAAAGTAGTTACTTTAAGAGTTGAAATATGCTTTTTTGTGTCATAAACGGCCTTTACTTTTTTTATGTTAATGCAGGAGTTTTATTTTTCTGTAAACGACTGTACACTTAAGTACCTTAATTTCAACTTGATATGCGTTCCTGAAATTACGGGTCTTGCCTTGGCAGACAGACGGACAATAAAATTATCCTATAAGGGTTATGTATTTTTTAAAGAATTAGAGAAAATGTTATACGAAAAAATAAATACGATTTTTTTGACCCAGGAAACACATTACGCATGGAGTGTGGGACTCTCCATCAATACGTGATTTTTTTATCATAAATAAATATGCAAGAAGAAGTTCAGTTCCATCTCGAGTGGTCTAAATGACAGTCAAACATACAGATCATAAGAATCATCTAACATTTCGCAGTTTTAGCTATTTTTCTACTAGAAGTATACATATTTAATTAATTTGATAGAAAATTTAGCCAATAGTTTTATTGTTTGAACACGAAAGAGTATTTAGTGAGTTTTTTCAAGAGTAGACTAGACAGAATCAATATTTTATTTAGCGCTACATTAAATCGACGGGTTTCCCGAGTTTCGTACATTAATGCTAATCAACTTACGATGATAACAATCAAGTATATTAATAATTGAAAATAGATAAAGACTTCAGTTGATTTGTGATATCGAATAAAATATTACAGTGTAGTAACCAGTGGAGGTGCAAACTTGACATCAGACAGTGATAACACGGAAATCTGTTTTAAAAAATGTGTTCCGATTAAATAAAAACCTTTACAGTTCTAGATCCGGAATAAAAGCTTTGTGTGTTTTAATTATGGGTAATTGTCAGACTGGTGATAAGGCTAAGAAGCCTTCGAAGGACGCCGAGTTCTTCGCGAGGGAGAAATTGAAGGAGCAACGGCAAGAAGAGAAGAGGAAAAAGAAGATGAACCCTGCCAACAAACGGGTAGCAGCGAAAGACCCAGCATTGTTACCAGCTGCAGCGGCTGTATCAGTAGCACCTGCTTCACCGCCCGCTAACCTACGCTCCTTCGACGATGAGACCTTGAGCCAGATGCGAAACCAGCTACGAAACAATGCAAATGCTTTCCTCTTGAACAACATTCTTCTCTCCGTGCAGTTTTTTGAGAACTATGAAAGGTTTGTACAAAATCTTTCTGTTTTATTACAGTACACATTTGTATACACGATGCACTAATTCATAGTAATAATAATATTTTGTTATTGATTTTGCCCGTCTCCCGAATGGGTTGCTCTGTATATATGTGTGTGTGTGTGTGTGTGTGTGTATATGTGACAGAGTATATAAAGCAATTAGTATTGATAGCTTGCTTTTTAACTTATTGATATTATTCAATTGAATCTTATACCAATTATTAAATCAACTAAAGAATTTCTTTGTAGAAGTATTATAACAATATCACAAGCTATTGTATTCTGTTATTTCCCTTTTACTTATATCTTATTAATACCCTCATTAGATATGTGTCATGATCACAATCCTATTTATAATACCGCCAGATAAGGAAGTAATAAGGTATTGTGTTAAATCACTAAAGTTTTCCTATTTAAAGCAATATTATTTAATAAATATATATTGGATTTAATTTCAATGATTATCAAATTTGATTTGAATTATTTAAAATATTATTTGATAACGTGCTAGATATTACCTAATAAATATACTTTTATAAATCACTATATGGTTCGATATATAGGTATGAGATTATACATACGTACAAATTGTTTCGTTTTATCGGTTGACTCATATATTTTTATCTCTTTATATATTTATATACTTTGTAAGTAAGTGTAAGTATACTTTTTCGATGTGAAGTTGCGGCTCTCAAGTTCAATTAACATAAAATATTTTACAATCAAAACCCCTTAAATTGGGGTAAGCTGACTATAACTGAGTGAAACATATTCAAAGTCGTCTATTTTTAATAAAATTTCGAATAGAACCGTCGAATCGAACTTCACAGTTTTTAGCTCTTTCGTCTTATAAGCTTGTCAACCCTTGCCTATCTGAGTCTAGCCAAGATCTCTTAGCGAATATCTCTTAGGCACGACACGTTCACTAGAGAAAGTTTGTTTGATTATATTAAAGTAAGCACAGGTAAAACTTAATAAGCGCACAAGAATATTAATTAAAAAAATAATATTTTCAGAGATGTACAGAATATCAAGAATAATCCAATAAGTGAACGCGAGCACTCGATCAATGAGGCAATGGTCCCTTATAATAAGCATGTTTTCTTTGCGGACCGTCTCCAAGATTACGTGAACGAACACGTCAGCTACGAAAAGCAGCGTGGCCAAGTGGAACCATTTATTACACCCAGGCTTTTTGTTATTTACGATAATGTGGAGGCCAGTGAACCAGGAGATACTTCTGATTACAGTGCTGTACTTGATGCACCATTTTATAAACTAAGAATTGAAGATTGCAAAGAACCAGGTAAAATATTAGTCATGTGGTTACTTGTTCTATTGTTGTTTTGCACCAGAAATATCTGATATCTTTCAATCATTTTTATCATCATCACCATCCTATCAATGACTTTAGTACTTGGGCTCAGGTCTTCCGTATGTATAGAATTGAATCAAATGAAAATGGGAATGGGCCATGACCCACTAAGCGGATCCAGTGCGGATCGGTGGATGTTAACGACTGCAGTAGCAGACTTATGCACTTACGGCACGGAGGAGCTTGGGATAATAAATTTTTGGTCACCCACCTGTTTGGGCTGGTCATACCGGCCTTTGCGAAAGTTACCGCAGACCAAGCGCGTTGATTACTGCGCCATCGAATACCTCGTCCTCTGTGACAGGTTCAACTTGATTTAATTAAGGGTAACAAAAAAGCCCTTATCTTCGGTTTTGGTCATTAATTAAACTTTATTATATTTGATTCAATATAGTATACATTATTTTTGGAAACAAGTATTTATAATGTTGCTAACTTGAGACATTTTCACGAACTGAGATTCATAAAAAGTATATTGGATTACTCAAAATTTCAAATTACGAAAAGTGAATAATAAAAATATATTTTTATTATTTTATTAGTGAATAGAAAAAGTTTGCATGCCGAAACTTAGAACGAAATAAACGGTGGTACGACGCACCGTTACACCTCTATTATTTTATTGGTCAACTAGCTTTTGCCCGCGACTTCGTACGCGTGGTAAAGTTACTTTGAGCAACATTTCTAACTAATATTTATTCATTATATCGTGTTAAATACCTGAAATAAAGTTTCATCCGCTATTTTATCCCCTTAGGGATGGAATTTAACAAAATCTTTTCTTAGAGGATGCCTACGTCATAGTAGCTTTATGCATGCAGTCTCAGCCCGATCGGTTTAATATTGACAAAGTTTCATACAAGCTTCCATCCCCTATTTTATTCCCTTGGGGGTAGAATTGATCAAAATCCTTTCTTAGCGGATGCCTACGTCATAACATCTACCTGCCAAATTTCAGCCCGATCCGTCCAGTGGTTTGGGCTGTTCGTTGATAGGTCACTATGTCAGTCAGTCACCTTTGAGTTATATATATTTAGATTACATAGCACAAAACTGCAATGCTTTAGATGCATGTAAAACGTCCTATCGTGATCGTATAAACATCAAACTTACACTCTGTTATAAAAACAGTCTCGAACTCAACGTTAAGCCGCGCTGTCATAGCATAAAGGTTCAATTAAATAAAACCTTCTTCAAAATGTGATAAGTTTTATTTTGACGTCAGTTTTTAGGGTGTATTTTAATATCATAGTTGGCAAAAAATGGTTCAGCCGTATCTTTTTTGTATGGAATAATAAATTGGTGGATAAAGTGGTGGATGGATGACTTAGTGAAAGATTATTATTATTTTACATTTTTAGTACATTCCAATGAAGCATGAGTCTCCTATTTTTGCTTTGTATGAGTTATATTGATATATGAGGAACACCACCATAGGGTTCCATCACCATAGGCCCTCTCGGTCGGTCGTAGAATGGGTGACTAAAAAAATGTTATCTCGAGCTCCACGTTATGGAAGACACGTTAAGTTGTTGGTACCGCCTGCAGCTGCTATCGTCGTCCAAGTCGCACTGGGCGGCGTGGTGGGTCATGGGTCATTATAGGGCACGGTTGACTTAAGTCCATTCCATCCATAAGGAAGATTTGAGCCCCTGCAGTGGAGACATTAATGTGCTGGTGATGATGATGAGTTTATATGACAGAATGCAAATGTAGTTTCTCATACAAAAAACTTTCTTTACAGGCTACGTGAAATTGAAGAAACTGGAAGTATTAGAAAGCACTATCTCAAGGGAAAATATTGCTATTGATACAAAAAGTGATAAAGACTCAGGTGATAGTATTTATACAGATTCGGAGAGAGAGTCTAATGATTCTGATGATGAAATATATCCCAAAAAAGGGGAAGCGTTATTACGTAAATTAAAAAATAGAGTAGATAGATCAACAAATATTGGAACATTTAAATCTAACTCCACAAAAGTGGATACATCATTAGAACTCAAAGGAAGACGAAGCAGTGGACCGATAAAGCAAGTTAGTTTACAAGTAACAAAAAGTAATATATCCAAATTGAAAGAACTTCAGAAAAGTAGTTTAATTCTAGCAGAGGAATATGATGCTACAGATTATACCAATGATAAATTTGATGATAATATTGGTTCTGAAGATATTAATAAGCCGAGGAAATCAATTTTAAAAAGTTCTAGAAGACTTAGTGGACCGATAAAAAATGATAACAATCATAAAGAGAGTAACATTGCGTTTCGCCCCACTTCCTTAGATAGTACGATAGCTGAAGATACTGAAACATCTGGGTATCGGTCAAATTCTAGCCGTCAAAATGAGATGAGTGAAAATGAATCTGATTACGGTTACACTACTATAACAGAAGCAACAACGCCAAAAAAAGTTGAACTTAGTTCTCACTCTGACACTTCTGCGACTTGCGGAGTATTACATGACAAAACATGGACAGCAGTACAAGTACGCTCAATTGATTGGAGCGATGATGAAGATGATTTTGATGATACTGCATCAAGTTTATCTTTGTCAAGGCAATTGTATGATACACATTATTATTTATGTTCTGTTGGATTTATGGACGACTTTATCGATAACTTTATTCTAAACTTAGGATCGGTATTGGGTATTACCCACGATTCTATCAATAATGCAATGACTCAAGGTGCCAGCATCTATTGTGATGCAAATAAATACGGTAAAAAAGTTGGGATTGAAGTTTTTCCTGCTCTTATCGCTGCTTGGCCGAATACAGCTAACCAGTGGATAATAAGAGAAAGAAAAATAATTCAGAATCCAAGAACTAATTTTAGTTATCAGTGGCCAACTAAGTACATGGTAAACAAGACAATAGGATTTGGATGTTTTCTAGTACCCATAGGATTTAGACCAAAAAGAGGATTGAATGCAAATCAAAAGTTACAATGGAAAATAACATTTCCCGCAGCAGAACGTTACTTAGAAAGTTGTCTTGCTCATGCACATATGAGATGTTATTTATTTGCATTAATCTTACAAAAAACTTTTATGGATAATGAAACATCTAAAATTGGTTTCGATGCGTCTCATTTGAAAAATCATCTCTTTTGGCAATGTGAAGATAATTATGCGAAATGGCCAGAACACCGATTAGGAGAGTCATTAAAATTATTTCTAAAAAGTTTGTATGCACATTTCAGACAAGGGCGATTTCCTAATTATTTTATGGAAAACTGTAATGACTTCAAAAGTATTCCCAGACCTCTTCTGCTACAACTTCAAAAAAGATTGGCTAATATTCTAGAAACTCCTGTAATGCATATTCTGTATGCTCTTAGTAAACTTAAGTACACAAAGAAAGAATTCTACCCATCTTTTGACGCTAACGAATTGTATGAAATTTTAACTAGTAAAGATCCACTAAGGCTTATCAACCCAAATCTTCCCGTATCAAATGTCAAGAAATATGATGGTAGTTCAGATAGTGACAACGAAAACGAAAATTTAGGTATATGGGAACGAGCAAAGAAATATGATAAAAACTACAATTGGAAAAAAGAGAAACTTCGTTTTATTCAAGAGAGAAGAAAAGCTGAGAATGCGAAGAAAAGAAATTCAGTGAAGCAGGAAAAAGAAATAAATACTAGTGTAAGTATTGGTAAATGAAAAACTCTGTATATTAAGTGCTTTTATAACTGAGCCATTTATAGTAAATTACGTTAATTTGCTTTTTTGTGTTCTTCAGATTATTTTACCAGCGCGAATGGACGTGGAAAGACGTCGATTGGTATTGGAGTTTTTCACTAAGCATTTCATTGCTATGGCGAGATCTAGCGTTAAATTTGATGCGATAAGACAAGCAGTCATCTATTTAGAACAAGCTCAAAGGCTCTGTTTGTTGTTAAAGGATGAGCCTGCAGGTGAAACAACTGCTAACGATTTTCTAGATGTAATTAGAGATTTATTAGTAGACTGCCAGAGGAAATTAGTTGCACAAGAAGGCTATAAACTTCCACCACGCCGGGAAAGTAATACTGATCGTATAACAAAACCTACTCCAAGACTAAGGCCGAGATATGAAAACATTACCAGCCAAAGTTCGCCAGTCGATAGTCCTGGGTACTCTAGCTTCACTTTTGTGGATGTCCATGTTGATAGTACGATAAATTTAAAACAAAATGGTATTAAGTTCAGCGATATAGATACAGACGAGGAGGACTCTAGATTGTAATGTAGATATTTATATAATTGTTGTATATGTAAAAACGAATCTCTTTCATTAAAATTGTTATTATATTAATTTATATATTTATTAAAATTCTAAGTTTACATGTTACATTCTGTTTCACTTATAAATTTAACGTTCAGCTGAATTTATATTACTTTGTAACCCTGTATAATAGACGTCAACAATTCATTCCCTCGGTGGCCACAGTTTAACGAAACCATTGAACAAAATTAGTGCACTGATAATAATTTCACCCTGTTTATATTTAAACATATATACATATACAGGGTTATTTTTAAAACATCAGCAACTTCACAGGACTAATTTTTTTTATATCTATAAAACATTTAATATACCAGTTCAACCATAACTCAATACTTTGTCTTACAATTATTTTGCAGGTTTTTATTGTATTATCATGACACTTGTTTACCTACATTTTATTCATAAATGAATTTATGTTATCTTAGAGATGCATGTACGTAATTAACAATCGTACGGTGAATTATTGAATTATTATCCAAAGTCATAGAAGCGTTGTTATTAATGACTTTAACCATCTATTTCTTTAATGTTGTTAATGTTATATAACTAATCCTGTATACAACAAACAAATTTTCGAAATTTACATACGTATTTATAAGCTCATATTGGCTGACTTAATAAAATTTTTACACTTCCAACAAAATAATAATAATAACATAATATGCTTTATATATTATAGTAACAGATTAAATTAATAACTTCTTTATGTGAAGTTGGTCAAAAATTTATAATAACTTTTATGCAATCGCTTAGGAAAAGTAACAATGCAATAATTAGGGCCTATCCATAAACCAAGTCACTTGATTTTTTGAACCCTTCCTTGTTGTTGTCCAAGAGGACCACCTTTGTGAAACCACCCCCTCATTAACATCATTTTACAATTTGTACACGAAACACATTTCGTTTTCTTATGTAATTTATGAAAATAATTAGGTATAAACATCAAAAATTATATCTTTAGGTAGGTACCTTATGTCCCCAATTTAGGTTGGTGTACAACATAAAAAAAAAACAAACACAATTACAATATATCAATACATTATTAGAACATTATGCAAAAGAAAAAAATTACGCCTAAAGGTAATTTGATTTACAAGGATTTTAATATAATAATTTATGTACAGTAAGTTCCAATTAATATGGCGCAAGGTGAATTTTCGTTTGCGCAGAGCAAATCTATCAATTAAAAGTATGATCGAACGAACGACAAAAATGTATAATGAGCCTTGTTTTAACAATTTTAAGGTGTAAAATACAATGCATTAGGTATCACGCTCGGCCGGAGTAGTGCGCACGGATAATCCAATAGCGCTATACTTATATCAATCTCATTGGTTGACATCTGAGGAGCTTTGAAATTTAGCCTTCTGCGCAGGTGCATTGTTGAGCCATATTTATTGTATCTTATTGTAAATATCATAGAATAAGATGTCCGTTTGATGCAATATGTCATTGTAGCTTAAGTAGCGACAGTCCAACAAATAACAATTCTTTTGTTTCATACTCGTAGTATAGCTATTTGTACAAGGAAATATAGTTTTCTCAAACATGTGTCAAGTTTTATGTGGCTTATTTTAAAAAAATTTGAATAACTAAAAAATAATTCTATTCTTCTGATTAAATAAACCTAATGTAATCACTGAGGTTTTTCTTATTTAAAGAAATCAATAATAAATATTTTATAAATTTTTGTCCTTTTAAAAATTATACAAGAGGATTTACACCGGCTACCATAGCCAACAGCGCCATCCGTACATACATGCCATATTCTGCTTGACGGAAGTAGGCGGCGCGAGGATCAGAATCGAATTCAGCGGATATCTCGTCGACGCGTGGGAGGGGATGCATTACGATCATGCGTCTGCGTGCACGAGTCATCAGTTGGGGCGTAACAACTAACAGACCCCGGTTCTAAAAATAGATTTTGTTATATATTAATTAAATTCATTCAAAACTTTAATTAAAATATTTAGAGATGTAAATGTTCAGCTTCTGTCAATGAAATTATTTAGTTATTTAATAAAACATAAATTTAGAGTACAAGAATTACTCTCACATTGTGTTTGGTATAATAAATTATATAATTTATTGAATAGAAATATTACAGATGGTGCATTAACGTAAGTTATACTAAGTAGTAAACATATTTTTAAAGAGGATTCTGCGAATTGGTTAAGATAGAATAAAAATAATAGCTCTTTTCTTATATATCATATAAAAATCAAAGTTGTTTCATTTATGAATAGTGCGCGTGAAAATATAAGAAATCAATATTTCATATAGGTTTTAGTATGTTTTTAAATATATTCTTTTTTTATGTATTTCGTATTAGTACATACCTAAAGAAGAAAACAGACTAAATGAAAATGCTCATGTTTATAAGTCGGCAATAAGGCATTTGCGGTTTCATAATTTTTATTAATAAATAAATATATTTGATTTGCCTATATTAATTAGATATGCTACTAACCTTTTCGTATTCTTCCTGACTGTTAAATCTTTCTCGCTGGATTCTGGTCATATATAAGACGTGTGTTTCACTCAATACATCTTCTAATCTGTCATAAACTTTTTGAGAAATTCCTCTTTTTGCAACATATTCCATAATATGTTTAGGCATGCCTAATCCCGGAGGACTAATATACTGAAGTTGGACTTGGTACAACGTAAGAAGTCGAGCAAGAGAGTGTACCGTGCGACCATTCTTTAAGTCTCCGACCATGGTTATTGTGAGACCATTGACAGTTCCAATTTCTTCTCTTATAGTGAACACATCGAGCAAAGCTTGAGTGGGATGCTCTCCTACTCCATCACCTGCGTTTATAATTGGCTTACGACAGTGCTTCGAAGCTCTCTGTAAAATATAACGAAATACTTGTTGTGATGAAAATATACTTTTTACTATGATAGAATTAAAAAAGGAACTCATTAGTTACTTACTGCTACGGCACCAGGTTCAGGATGACGAAGTACAACAACATCAGAGTAACTAGCCATAACTGCGACACTGTCTTCTAGCGTCTCTCCTTTTTTTGCTGAAGAACTTGTTGCATCAGTGTGAATGACTGATCCACCTAACCTCTGCATTGCAGCTGCAAAACTACAACTTGTACGTGTGCTAACTTCATAGAAAATTGAAGACATTACTTTTCCTCTTAAAATATCATCTAAATAACGACCTTTAGTGATGCTAGTTTTCATAAATTGTGCCAAGTTAAATATATCGTTCAGTGTTTCTTTACTAAAGGAATCAACGGTTAAAATACTTTTACCAAAAAGATCACTACGCTGACGATTTGATGGTGCTGCTGCAGGTGGGTTATAATTAGATGTACTATCACATCTTTGTCTCATTGAATTTGTTTGAGGCAATGGTGAACCACTGCGTAATCCGGCAACATCATTGAAGTGAACATTTAATTTGTTTTGAACATCAGGTTTCACGTCAATTTGATCTAATTCAAAGTCACTTAAACGACTTAATTCCCCAGCATGAAAATCTAATGCAGAATTTGGACGGCTTGTTATTTCTTTTTCAATCTTCTCAATTGCATACACCGGGAATAGTTGTTTTTTAGGTACGGGCCACTCTCGTACATTTTGACCAAACCCTGGAGGTACAAGTATCTGACCCTCAACATAAGCGATTTCGCCTCGCAGAGTAACACGGTGAATTGCTCCACATACTTTCATACCAGCAAAAGGGGTCCACTTTGACTTTGAAAACTCCATAGCAGAAGGTATAGTCCATTCATAATCAATATCAACTTCAACATAGGTATTTGGTTGTTCAGGGAGATTGAATATTTTACGAGGATTACGGTGAAATTTATTAATTAGATCTTCCATTGTAATACGACCTTCATGCACTGCATTAAGTAGTAATGGTAAAATAGTTTCTAAGCCTGGAAAACCTGGCGGTGGTTTAACTGAGTTTTTCTCTTCAACTGAATGAGGCGCATGGTCAGTAGCGAAAATATCAATGACGTCTATGTTATTCCATAACTCTGTTTGGTCTTCAGGGCTACACAAAATAGGGCGAACTTCTGCACGGCCTGCGCCAATGCGGTCAATATCATCCGTACTCAGAAACAGATGCTGAGGACATACTTCACAAGTTACTTTTAACCCTCTTTCCTTAGCAGCTCTGATAATTAAAATCTCTTCTTTCCGAGCTACATGACAAATATGTATAGGGCGATCAAGCAATGAGGCCATTAAAATAATAGCACCTGTTTTTTCTCGTTCCGCATGGGCACAAATAGGCATTTTCTTAGGCCAATTTTGAAGGTGTTTCTGCCATATAGTCATATCATCAAGTTTTAAGGTCGTAAAGGTCTCATTGAGATACATTTTTAATGCAGCTGCTTGTGGTGCTAACTCTGCAACTGTATCATAATTTGTAGAAGAAGCTCCTACAAAAAGAGCATAATCACACCGGGCACTAACTCTGGCTAAAGCTGACGAGTATTCTAGAGCAGCTCGATCTACAATAGGAGGGTTTGTATTTGGCATTGCACATATCATCGTTATACCTCCAGCTAATGCGGCTGCTGTACATGAATTAAAATCTTCTTTGTAAGTTGCACCAGGTTCACGGGCATGTACATGCACATCGATAAAGCCAGGAAGTTTGATAATATTTCTAGATGTCATACAATCAGTATGAGTTTTCATATGTGGTGCACCACCGCATCGTGTCAAGGCCTATTCAAAAATAAAATAAAATATCGATTATTATCTAAAAAAAATATGATTCGTCTTATAGAAAGAGCCAACTGTATTTTGATCTATGAAGGAATTAATTTAGGAAGCAAAATAGTTTATACCTGTACTAGTAACTTAGCGCACTTTACGTCAGTCACTAAAGGTACAGCATAGTCAACAGCAAGTCTTCTAGTTCGGTATCCATGCGTGCTGAAAGTCGAAACACGGCGAGCTCCACTTCGCATTGGTAAATTGATAACTAAGTCCAACTGTCTACGAGCCATGAAGTCTGCCAAATGCATCAATTCACCATCCGCTCTAGCATCTTCAGGATCTCCTATGTGATCGAATGTCCACTGCACACTTTCAATCTGCAAAATAAAATTGGTTTTGAAATTTTCAACAACATTTTTATACTTTTTTTAAATAATTGTTTCAAGCAATAGTTTACCTCAATGCCATGTTCATTATAGAAATCACCAGTACCCATACTAGCATAAAGTTTATATCCCATTTTGTGCAACGCTCTCACACTTGGGAGCAGTTCAATTTTGTGCTAAAACAAATATGGTTCGATTAAATTAAAGGTGTAATTACATTTTAAGTAAATTAGTTAAGCGTTTTTCTTACTCATTTCTATTTACCTTAAATGTTCCTACCGATAGTAAAATGGCTTTTTTAGGTATTCTAAAGCCAGTACTCATTAATGATTTTAAATAAGCTTCATAGCGGTTTTCGCCAAAACATGCTACTTCTCCAGTGGATGCCATTTCAACGCCTAAAGTAACATCTGCACCAGAAAGTCTAGAAAATGAAAACTGAGGCACTTTCACCCCAACTTTACCACAGCCCATCATAACATTAATAGTTTCCACGGGTATTCCTAAAATTACTTTAGTAGCCATTGCAACAAAATCATGATCCAAAGTTTTGGACACGAATGGAAATGATCTAGATACTCTGACATTACATTCGATAACTTTCAATTCATTATCTTTTGCAATAAGTTGCATATTAAATGGTCCAGTTACATCTAATGTTTCTGCAATAATGCTTGCAATGTCTTTTATTTTTTCTAGTGTTTCTTTATTGATATCTTGTGGTGGAGTAACTAGTGTAGCATCACCAGAATGTACGCCAGCATTTTCCACATGCTCAGAAACTGCTAAACAATAAATTAGTCCATCTGATGCAACTGCATCAACATCAATTTCTTTGGCATCCATAATATATTTTGATATAACTACAGGATGTTCTTTACTAACTTCGCTTGCAGATTTTAGATACGCCTCCAAATCTTGATTAGAATACGCTACATTCATAGCAGCTCCACTTAAAACGTACGAAGGCCTTACCAAGCATGGATATCCTACTTCTTCACAAAAAGCTATCGCAGAATCTAGATTTGTAAGTTCTTTCCATCTGGGTTGTAAAATACCTTTACGATCTAACATTCTCGAAAATTTGAAACGATTCTCTGCATTGTCGATCATATCTGGAGAAGTTCCTAAAATCGTAGCTTGCTGTCTGTGTAAATCTATTGCAATATTATTGGGTAACTGGCCACCCATTGAAAGTATAATTCCATTAGGTTTCTCGATATTGTAAATATCCATAACGACCTCAAACGATATCTCTTCAAAGTATAACCTGTCACTCATATCGTAATCAGTACTAACAGTCTCGGGATTATAATTAACCATTATAGTCTTTTTGCCTTGTTTTCTTAACTCTCTTAAACATCCTACTGCACACCAATCAAATTCTACTGAACTTCCAATTCTATATACACCGGATCCCAATACCATCGTATATTCTCCAGGAAAATCTAAGTCATGTGAATTGCCATTATAAGTCAGATAAAGGTAATTAGTGGAAGCCGGCCATTCGGCAGCAACTGTATCTATTTGCTTTACAAAGGGTATAATATTGTAATCTTCTCTTAATTTTCTTACTGCTACTTCAGTACTTTTAACGGCTGCAGCTATTTGTTTATCTGAAAATCCAATCTTTTTTGCTTGTTTCAATAGTTCGTGAGATATTGTAGTACCTTCAACACATTGCAGCTTACTATAATAAGAAATAATATTTTTGAATTTTTCCAGAAACCAACGATCTATTTTGGTAAGATCATATAATTTCTCTACTGTGTATCCTTTTTTTAATGCAGCAGCTAATACAAACATTCTTTTATCTGTTGGTTCTCTCAGTTCGTTTTCATTGACAGCTTTTATATTAGGATCGAATCCATTTACGTTTTCATCAACCATTCTTAACGCTTTCTGGAATGCTTCTTCGAAATTTCTACCTATAGACATTACTTCACCTACACTTTTCATAGAACTTCCTATCTTAGTACTCACTCTGTTAAATTTAGCCAAATCCCATCTGGGTATCTTCACAACGCAATAATCTAAACTTGGCTCAAAACAAGCTGTAGTCACCCCTGTTACCGAATTTTTAATAATCGGCAAAGGAATTCCTAGCGCTAACTTGGCTGCAACATAGGCAAGTGGGTAGCCAGTAGCTTTACTTGCAAGAGCAGAACTCCTGGAGAGTCGAGCATTTACTTCTATGATATAAAATTCTTCAGAATATGGATTCAAGGCATATTGAATGTTACATTCTCCGACAATACCAAAATGTTTTATAACTTTTATAGCAGTATTTCGTAACATATAGTATTCTCTGTTAGATAACGTCTGACTAGGAGCTACCACAATTGATTCACCTGTATGTATACCCAATGGATCAACATTTTCCATGTTACATACAGTGATACAATTATCAGATGCATCACGAACTACTTCATATTCAACTTCTTTCCATCCTCTAAGGGACTTATCAATGATGAGTTGATCTGAATGAGACAATGCTTGATGGGCTAAAGATCGGAGTTCTTCTTCGTTATTAGCAAATCCGGAACCTAAGCCACCCAATGAAAATGCAGAACGCGCCATTACTGGATATCCAATTTCCAAGGCGGCTGAAAGCGCTTCTTCTACAGATGTCACTGCAGCACTAGGTGCCACTCTTTCACCAATAGAATTAATTTTTTCAGCAAATATTTTTCTATCTTCTGTATCAACAATAGATTGAATTGGAGTTCCTAAAACAGCTACATTATATTTTTCAAGTACTCCCGATTTTTGTAATTCAACTCCACAGTTCAAAGCAGTTTGTCCACCAAATGTAAGCAAAACTCCTGTTGGTCGTTCAGCCTTTATTACCTGCTCTACATATTCTGGAGTGATAGGTAAGAAATAAACTTTATCTGCTAGCCCTTTAGAGGTTTGAACCGTAGCAATATTCGGATTTATCAAAACAGTTTGGATTTTCTCCTCTTGCATTGCTTTTACACCTTGGGATCCTGAATAGTCAAATTCCCCTGCTTGGCCAATTGATAAACCGCCTGAACCCAGAATTAACACCTTCTTCGGTCTTTCGTTAACGATTGTTGTGTATTTTAATTTGTTTGTTATTTCTAAATCTATAATGTATTCTTTTTTATTTTTTAAACTTCTCACAGAATCTACAAAAATATCAAAAAGCCATTCTAAATCTGTAGGACCTGCAGTGTGTTCGGGGTGAAATTGAACACTAAAAAATGGTTTTGATTTATGTATAATGCCTTCATTTGTGTTATCGTTTTCATTGGTAAAAAGTATTTTCCAGTTTTCAGGTAATGTATTAGCATCGACAGCATATCCGTGGTTTTGTGAAGTCATAAAACATCTTCCTGTATCATAATGAGTACATGGTAAATTGTGACCACGGTTGCCGTAACTGAAATATAAAAAATAATAGTGCGTATAGTATTCCTAATGAATATTTAGACATAATCATTTAACGATATAATAAAAATATATCGACTCACCTTGTTTTATATGTTTTACAACCTATAGCCGTCGAAAGAAGCTGATGACCCAAACAAATTCCAAAAATAGGTTTTGTTTGTGACTTCTCGCTCACAACATCTTTTATATTTTCGACGACTTTTTTACATATTTCTGGATCACCTGGACCATTACTAATAAAGAGGCCGTCATAATCATTTGGATTTAATTTGTGGTCCCATGGCACTAAAATAACTTTTACTTTTCTTTTCACCAAGCATCTTATTTGATTATATTTTAATCCACAGTCCACAGCCAAAATTGTTATGTCACCACCAGGGTTAAATGTTTTTATTACCTAAACAAAAAATATTAAAGAAATTATATTTGTAAGGTAAGGTTAATAAACTTAAATACATAGTTTTATCTTACTTTAGTTGACACTTCTGCGACTAAGTTTCTGTTGTTGGGATCAGATAGAGGAGAAAGTGGTCCAGAATGTTGTCCTTGAACTATCCGACCTAACATAACACCTTCTCGGAGTTTAAATGTGAGGGCTCTAGTGTCGATATCACAGAGGCCAGGAACTCTTTGTGCAGCAAGCCAGTTTCCTAGGGATCTTTTGGCTCGCCAGTGGCATGACTTAGTGCTTACTTCGCCAACAATTAGCCCGGCTGCCCAAATACGACTTGACTCAAACCACCTGTTTTATTCAGGACAAGAATACAATGTTGACGTATATTTTCGTAAATAAATTCTCCAGATGAAGATTTTTTTCAAAATCGAGAAAATATTAATGATCGAATATTAGGTTCAGTGGTGCGATGCGGTTTCAATTGCGATGGACATTTTGAAGAAAAAGAACCGATTGAGATTGAAAGTGATAATAATGAAAAGTAAAATTTAAAATCTTTTGCAGAAAGAATTACTTTTATGTAAATTTTTATAGTTTTTCGTTGAATACGAAATAGTGATATATTTCAAATATTGTTTTATAATTCCAGTTGTAATAAAACAATATTTGAAATATATATATTTATATAATATATTTAAATAATACCATTATGAAAAAACTGTAAAAGAAAGAAAGAAAAGTTTTTTTTTCATAATTTTAACTGTAAAATTATTTAGATACAGTGATAACATCATTGCAAATAATTTAGTCACTCTCAGCATCTATCATTGCTTCTGTTTTAGTATGACTCCGCATAAAGTATTCGTTTAGTTTTACACTAAACTAATGCTTATGGCCAGGTTACTTATATTCTAAGTTAAATTTTTAATCATTTATATTTACAAAGTTGCAAAAAGTTTAAACAATACCTAGTTTAAGTTCGAATATATTCTCGATTTTGGAACGTAACAAAGTCGATAATTACACGAGTAAGAAAGACGAATCCAGCTATACATATTGCGTCTGTAATGTTACAGACTGGAACACTACATTGATTAATAAAAGGTCTTAATACAGCTTGTAACTTCTGAAATCTAACATAGCAGCCAAATGTTCGTTAGTCAGGAAGCTATATTGTAGTGTAATATTAAAACTCGATTCTTAGATATTACATGGTGAGAGAGTACCTTTATGTAAAAAAAATGAGACAAGTTCTTATACTTATATCTATAAATATATCTAACAGTTTCTTGGTCTAAGAAATGAAAAAAATTAGTTTGATTTAATCTAAATATCTTACCTAGGTAATCCCAACTCATCACGTTCTTCTTCATCGGGAACACCATAGTTGCCTATTAATGGATAAGTGAGCACCAAAAGCTGTGCGTGGTAAGATGGATCTGTCAGAGATTCAGGATAACCCACCATGCCAGTTTGAAATACTGAAAATAAATTGTACACCTCCATCAGAATCTATTAATATGAGCATCGTAGAAATTCCGAGCATGGTGATTATCCATATCGTTTCAAGTGGAATTATAATGGCAGCTGATACAGAACACATCGTTGAACTGATTGATATGTTGGTCATATTGATGGACACAAAAGGTACATAAGTTACAACAAAAAGATGTGATTTCTGCAATTAATATAGACTTTAACCAGAACTGTAACCAGATCTGTTGTCGTATTTTAAGTGTTTGTTTTGTGCCCAATGTAGCTCTCGTTACTTACCAACTTCTCCCTCTGAGGGTATTTGTGCTCCAAAACTACGTCCATGAAAAACGGAGCCATCTGCCAGCACCAACGAACAAGGGGGACCGACCTCGCAGCTCAATTCATTCTCCATTTTTCTGGAATGTTAATATTTTTTTTATTATCTTCCAAGATATCTTAATCCATAAGTTTGCTTTTGTTTCAAGAAGTGGTGTATATCTCAAAGAAGTATATATACCTTAGAGCTTGCTCGACTTTGTATTTTTTATTATTTTTGTATCAAATTTGAAGTAAGTTTTTTGTTTTGGTGGAAGTGTCGCGTATTGAAATTTTTGATGATCCATTTTTACAAGTTTTCCTGATCGTAATTTAACTAACAAGCTTATTTAACTTGCATTGCAATGTATTTTATGTTCGTCAAATTCTAAGACTGAAATTTAACATGGCGATCAAACCAAGATGGCATCCAGTATTTTTTTTTATGTAAATATTTAAATATAATATAATAATATCATACGAAAATATATGTATCATATGAAAAGGTTTCCTGAATGGGTTGTAATTAAGTAATAAGTTGAGAATAATAAGCTTGTCATTATTATATTTCTAAGAAAAAAAAAAGAAAAATTTTCATTTCTTTAAACAATATACACGAAGTATCTCATCATCTGAAGGCTTTGAGTCAAAGCAGATATTATACCTATAAGAGAGGGGACAATAATCATAACTGCGCATACTTACTTAAGAATTGCAGTTTTAAACGAGGGCTACGTGGGTTACTGTTACTCCGCCGAGGTATGATGCGCCGCGTCGAGTTCTCAACGGCAATTGACCGTGATCCTGCGCCTGCTTACTAGCTTCCTAAACGTTAAATGGAAGAAGCTACTTAAAAAAACGGGGCAAAATCATTCTTTGACATACATTGCGCCATGTCTTGTAATACGCTTCTCAAGTAACTTTTATTATTACGGCTTTGTACGATAAACAAACTTTATCTATAGCATCCGTTTAAGTATCTGAGTACACTACTTTATCACATTCATATACAAATTTTAACATTTATATACAAATGTTATGTTTCACTATCATGTTTTGTTCAATTGCAAGAAAATGAGGTGCGCAATGCTTCATATGCATGTGAAATGTTAAAACAAATATATATTATAGCTTCGTTGAAGGTTGATGAGTTTTTGTACACTTTTTGATATATGAAATGTAATAAAAAAAAATTGATATTTTTTATTACATTTTTTTATTAATTTTTTAATTACAAATTGCAAATTTGATTAATTACAAATTGCATCAAAGAAATTATTTGATTTTATTTTATTCTTTTTGGGGAGCTTACAGCTTTATTCACAATATGATTACATCTATAACACTTATAAGATAATTAGAAAGATTTATGGAATTAAAAAATATATCGAACTTTTTTATTTAAGGTCACAAAAATAATTCCTAAAAGAATGCATAGGTTACCTACTCTATCTGTAGAAAAAAAAGTGATGCAAAGTTATTAAACAGCAGAGTTTATTGTCCAATAGGATCTAATAAGATTCTCATCAATAACCACGCATACTTACTTATTTACGGATTCTCAATGGCGACTGAACGTGATGCTGCGACTGGCTACTAACCAAATTGAGAATGGAAGTTACAAAAAATAAGGTAAAATTTTTGTATGCAGGTGTATTATGAGAACATTGTTTAGTATTATAAAGGTATACGTTGAAGAATTTCAGCAGGTACGCTTTGGTCATAAGACTTAATGCTTACACTATTTCGCTTTTTAGTACTTTTAAAAGGTACCTTCCTTGTCTCAAATGCAAAAACGGAAAACTTTATCTTAACCGTTGAAAAGTAAAGCTAACTTTTTTTGCCTTCGCAGCGGAACACCGTGTTTTACGCAACTCACACCCGGAATTCACATGGTTGTGTCTTTTTTAACAAGCTTTTATTAGGTCGACCTGTAACTGTAAAGAAACTAAAGATGTAATGGAATCTAAGGTTTCTTACATAAATACAATTAAACCATCTCCCAAGGATCGTAGCGTCATAAAAATCGGCTGTATGTAGAAACTACTGTACGTAGCTCTAATGCCAATACAATAATATGGTACTGTCGAACTGATCTGATGATGGAGCTAGAGGATATAAATTGGAATTTAATGATGGAACATCGTATCATAGCCGTATAAATGTTAAAAATATTTTGTTATCAAAGATTAAAAAGTATATTAATTTATTTATTATATATTAATAGTTAAACGTTAAAGCCAAAAATAAATTATGGATCGTTCAATTTGTCTCTATTTCGGTGCTGAAATGTAAACTATGTGCTTTTACTTAAAATATTTGATTGTAAATGGGGCGCTGGAACTGAAAACTTAAAACTTTTTGTATAACTTGCTGAGTAATCAAGTTAAGCATTGGCGTTCTAACTGGAGTTGCAGTATGAGTAGTAGGTGGCTCTACATTAAACAGACTGTTCAAAGTACTGGTCTAGCGAAGAGACACGACATTCACCGACATTTTGAACGCTTCTTCTTTCTTGAAATTAATTACATAAGGAAATTGCGTCAACAGTGGCAAAATGTAGAGTTCTTGTTCGTGGACGAGATATCTTTGGTTCCCTTTGGTGACCCTTTGGCCAGTATAAACGATATGTTCACGTGCGACCTCATGCAGTTTCCGCTAGCAAGTTGGTATTAATATTTGTTTACAAGAAAGTCTTTCCTGTTTAAGCATCCCACGCTTTTACAATAAAATATTATAATTAAAAGCACATAGATTAACTTTCAGCCTAGGAATAGAGACAACTTGAACGATCTTTCATTTATTTTGGACGTGCATTTATAAAAGCTTGTTTTTCTAGTTTTTTTACTTTTTAAACTAGGTATAAATTTTTGTCCTTTTCTGTCATAGCAGTGTCCTTCGCAATTATTGAATAAATTGGCCTAAATTTACAGTTAGGTATGTAAGTGGGTGACCCAAAGAATTGTGACCACTTTTAGAAATATAAGAAAGGGCATCTATACAAAAAGAAAACTTTTTATTTCTTTAAATAATATACACGAAATATATGAATGTTTGTCATTCGATTACGGAATCGCGTTACAGTTGGGACACTGGTACATTAAATACCTATCTTTCATATTTCCTTGAATTATTCACTGTATTTATAGTTAAGTAAATATTTACTTTTTTTTCTCAAATGATATTAAAAATTAAAACTATGTAGTTTGCCAGATAAGCACTTTTAAACTTATCTGGTAAGTAAGCGATTGGCTTCTTTAATTATAGTTCAAAAGAATACCTTGCTTTTATTGATCAATTAAGTTCAATATAAAAGTATATATCATTTAATTATTTTAAAAGAAAAATACTTTGAAAATTCACCAGCCTCAAGTGTCTGAAATGGGATTCGAACCCATAACCTACCGTAAGAATTATATTTATAGATCAAATATAAATATTATTCAATCATTTTCAGACGTAATATATATTTTATTTTGCACAATAATTGTCTTTTATTTATTAAAATACAAACAAATGGTTAATATTGATATTTGATTCGGTTATAGTAGAACTGCTTTACCGGAATTGTTAAATTAGGCAGTTTTAATACATAATTATGCTAAAAACTTATCTGTGAAATATACATACAACATAACTAAAACGTATCTGTCAATATCATATATCGAACTACCTAATTTAAGGTCATAATAATGTTAATAGGATGCAGATTTTGTCGCTACTTATCTATAAAAAAACTTGTGGTGCAAAGTAACCAAACATGTGAAGGCATTCGCTTTGAGTCAATACAGATATTATAAGCACCCATAAGAGAGGAGACAAAAATCATAGAAGAGGTTATCGACCTATTTGGTTTTCATTAATAATTGCGCATACTTACTTAAGAATTGTAGTTTCAAATGACGGCCACGTGGGTTACTGTTTCTCCGCCGAGGAACGCTCCGCCGCTGTCGGATTCTCAACGGCGACTGACCGTGATCCTGCGACTGCTTACTAGCTTCCTAAACGTTGAATGGAAGCTACTTAAAAGACGTGGCAAAAACATTCTTTAACATACATTGCGCCATATCTTGTTATACGCTTCACGCGTAACTTTTACTATTAGGGCTGTGTACGATGTACAAACTTTATCTACAGCCTCCGTTCAAGTATATGCGTACGCTGCCTTATCACATATTCGCCATAACAACCAACGAGTTTATGTTTTGTCTTTTTTGCTCTCGGATATCCACAATTCTTTCCTTTTCTCTCTCGTTGTTTGATATGCATAATGTCTGATGATTGTTAGACGACAATACTTCAAAGATTCCAGTAGTTTATGCTCCGAAGTTAGTTGTGGGACCCTCGTTACAACTTGACAACTGATACGCTACGAAATTCTTCTTAAAAACGCTTAAATAATGAATTATAGAACATGTTATGTACACACGTACCTATATAATATTATGATGTACCATCACATGATAGAGGTAGCGTTCACAAATAACGTATTACTACCGATGGGCTGAAGTATATATAGTTTAGACATTTATTCATTAATCGATAGTGTCTGTTTATCAAAGATTATAAAAAAATATATTTATATTTATCAACCATGATTATCTAAGTTGTTTTTACTGTGTAATTGTTACAAATAGTACCTAGGGTGCCCTTTATCTGTGAAGAACTTATAAAATTAGATTTTATCCAGTATTAAAAGTTTTCAAGCAAACCAAACAGTTCATCTATTGTTTGTAAAGTATTTTCCCTAGGAGTAATATTTTAATAAACCATTAACTGATCAATATAAGTAATTAATGAATAAATATAAGTACAACACACTAGATAGAGTCGCTCTTTTAACTTTTTCTTTACGAATAAATAGAATGATATTTATATTTCACGTGTGATAAAATTTAATTGACGTGTTACCTAAAGTTGATTTAATTAACATTTATATACAAATTTTATATATCGGCAAGAACATATCACATATATTTAAGTATAAACTAATCTGTTAGAGAGAATAAAATGATTTTTCTTCAAAATTTTAATCAAAAATATTTTTTTGAAACTTTTAGATTTTTAAAAAGTTTTTTTTTCACCATAATTGTCAAACTATGTATGTATATTTAATCACTTTTTAATAACATAATTATCTTAACGAAATTGTTATTATCTAAATTATTTTATTTTATTCTTTTTGGGGAGCTTACAGCATTATTCATAATATGATTACATTTATACCACTAATCAGATAATTAGAAAGAAAGTAGAAAATAGAACTGAATAATATATCGAACTATTTTATTTAAGCTCAATAAAATAGTTCCTAAATGGATGAAAAGTTTTCTATCTGTAGAAAAAAAATGATGCAAAGTAACCAAACCAGATAACGTGAGAGAGAGGATACAGCAGAGGTTATCGTCCTATTAGATTCTTCGTAATAACTGCGCATACTTACTTAATAATTGCAGTTTTAATTGCTGTAGCCACGTGGGATTACTTTTCTCCGTTGAGGAAATGCTCCGTGGCTGTCGAATTCTCAATGGCGACTGACTTCTCAAATGTATATCCTGGGTTACTACCAAATGGAGAATGGAAGCTACAAAAAATGAGGTGAATTTTTGTGTGCAGGTGTATTATGACAACATTGTTTAGAACTTTAAAAGTTATAATATAAATACGTTGGAGAATTTCAACAGGTAAGTCGCAGGTACAAAACAGGTACGGTTTGGTCATAAAAACTCAATGCTTTAACGATTTCGCTTTTAGTTTAGTCCTTTTTTAAGGTTCCTTGCCTTAAAAGGAAAAACGGAAACCCTTTATCATTACATTTCCATGTAGGTGCTATTGAGCATAAAACAAGACACCTTTCTTCCGTCTGTGATATCCTGACGCGTGATATCACAGACGGAAGAAAGGTTCTAGAACGTACCTACGTTACTGCACTTTTCTTAATTCTTTGTTTCTGCATTTTATCCTCTATAGAAATGTAAATCACCGGAACATTCATCCAAAGCCGCGGTCATTCCATAGCAGAGTTAAAGATTTTTTTGCTTCCGCAGCGGAACACCGTATTTTGCGCAAATCACATCCAGAATTCACATGGCTATATGTTTTTTCTTATTCTCTGTCATACATACTATGACAGAGAATAAGAAAAAAACAAACTTGCTTCGAATTTATTTGATAAATTTGCCTATATTTACAGTTGGGTATGTAAGCGGGTGACCCAAAGACAAACGTGTGAATTGAATCAATAAATAGAGTCCCCTTTCAGAAATATAAGAAAGGCCATATTGAGAGATCTCAAATGGGGTTTTTATAATATAAGGTAAAGCATTTTAACCTATTTGAGAACACTGGTCAATTGCGAGTAGGACCAGCACATTCTGGGTTCCGTAGTAGCAAACATTAATTATCAAAAAATAACTTTGGATTTTATTGATTTTGTGTAAAAGTCAAATTCATATTTGCGAATTTTGTGAATGTGCTATAATCTCAAAAACTACTTACTGACTATATGTTGTTCTCACAAATATCAGAAAAACACGATCATTCCAATTTTTGAAGAATAGTATTCATTGCTTATAAGAATATCAGATATAGGAAATTTCAATATCATTTTAACAGATCTATAGATAATTTTCTGTAGTTGTATTTTTTATATTTTTTTATTACAATAAATATTTGTTATCTTATTACACTATTTTTCCTAATAATAATACTTTTTATATGGAAAATAAATAAATATGTTAGTCACTTTGTATTATATATAATAGATTCTAAGTTTTTCATCATCTTTACTCCCAGTCTTAATCATAAAGTGGATAAAATTATAAGAAAAGCGAAAGCAAAAAATTGATTATTCCTAGAATGTCCCTGGTGTCTACCGCGGTCAGTTTTTATTGTTAGGTTGTACCTGTAATTGGCTGTATGCTTCTTCATTTCATTATTATCTTTGTTTGTTAGCTATAGGTCTTCCTAAGACATAATAAACAAATTAATAGCATCTATTTATAATTAAACTCTTCACTTATTATTGCAATTTCATATGATAAAAGCTTTATTAAAATTTAAACATAACTTAAAAGATTAACTTTCTTAGGTCAAAGTATTGTAATATGAAATCCGAGTAGACATATTTGTATATTGTCTAATGTACTAAAAATACATTTTGAAATGGTAGTAAAGATTTGGAGGTAAATAAAGAACGCTTTTTATAATAATATTATTAATTAAATTTTATCCTTAAGACTAAATACTTACAATTTAACGTGAAAATAAAAAAAAAACACTTTGTTTTCAATTTACATTTAAAATAGTACAATAAACAACAAAAATAATTCAAGAAACTTGGATTCAAAATATCATTCTCTTAGTAAGTTACGTGATTATAAAAAATTGAAAATCGAATTTTACTTTAAAACATTCAAAATTATATAATTTTAAAGTAAAAACTTAAAGGCAGTAGGGTTGGTAGGTGGGTATTACCTATGATTTTTTTTGTTTGTTCACAATGACTAGTGTGACACACGACTCAAAATTTTCCACAGGTAATTAAAAAATGGATACAATGTTTTTCAACTGATTTCAAAACAAAATTAGTTCTTCAATTCGTTTATTAAATTATACAGTACAGTTATCTTTTTTACTCTATTTTTATCAAGAAATCAGTACACTTCTCCATACTAATATTATAAAAGAGGAAAGAATCGATTGTATGCTGGCTTGTTTTTTGTTTTAATTTTTTTTGCATTTCATAGGCTCCAAAATTATAGGATCGATGTCAAAAAATCTTTCATGTAAAAGATCTACATCATACGCGGATGACATAGGTTATAATAGCGCATTTACAGTCGGTGGCATCCACGGCCTCATGCAGGTGATTTCTATTCCTCGTTTTCATTGGGCGTTTCTTTTTTTATTGACCAATGAGATAAGAGCACAGGGTCCCCCGCCACTCTATTGTACATACGCTTTAATTTACGCGAGAAAATAACTAGAGTCACATAATTTTTAAGGTATTTCTATTTGACATGTTAAGTACCTCATATCATTTAAGACAACCTTGGGTGAAAATTAACTACTCAGAGAAACATTTATTATAATTTGTCTTTTGTTGTAAAAAGTGCTGCTTTACTTACATCGAACTTGACCTCAGTAATAAATAAACTTTAAAATTTATAGTGAATTTCCAAATAGTTGCCTCGCATGCTCTGATCTGAATGAAAAGAATATACGCATGTTACTTTTAATATGTTTTTTCAGGAGCATTCTAGGATATCTCTTTGGGTCCAGTCAAACGATTAGAAATTTAACTTTTCATCACCACTCGTGTTAAGTTTGTGTTCTATTAAGTATCGGATAGTCTATGAATTCCATTGTAAGAGCTTCAGGTGCAGCTTCCAGTTCCAGTACTTGGATGAGGTTTGATGCTGGCGCCGCTTTCAGCCACACACCAGGAACATATAGTGTGACTTGTGGTCCTAAATTTGGCCAGTAGCGTCCTAGATTATACCCGTTCACCCATACATATCCCTGAAAAATATTAACAGCATAATTATAATGTTATCGGATATTAGGATTGCGTTAAATATCATAGAAGGGACTTTAGACTCTCTTAAGACTGGTGGGCACCTATAAGTAAGTCCTAAAATTCAGAAGGCCCACTCCATCTGTCCTTAATTAATTAATTTATTTATTAAATCTTTATTGCCATATTACTGCAAATGGCGGACTTAATGCCATAGGCATTCTCTACCAGTCAACCGGAGAGGATAAGCAGAAAATTTGTAAGGCAGTGACAGTGATAGAGAATTAGTATTAAACACACAAATATACATAAATAAATATATACATATACAGTAAAATAAACATCGGCATGTCAGATTGGAAAGTCAGGAAAAGTTGTTACCTTTTAGATAGTGTTCACGCGCTTTTCTTTTGAAAACTAACCTATACGGAGCATTTCGTACGTCCAAAGGTAGTGCATTCCACAGCCGTATAGCAGTAAGAGAAAAAGATTTGGAAACAAACATAGAATGATGAGAAGGAGTCTGGAGTACCATATTAGAACTGGAGTGAAGTTGTTTTTGATGAGAGGCACCCAAGTACTGAAACCTAGATTTTAGATATTCAGGCGCGCGTATAGAATTGCAAAGAGAGTGTTTACGATTCTTAATTTCCTACGTTCGCGTATTGGCAACCATTTAAGGTGGTTACGAAAAACAGAGATGTGGTCGTATTTACGTAGACCGAAAACGAACCGGATAGTGTTATTAAGAAGACGATCCAATTTATCGAGAAATATTTGATTAATGTTAGAGAGACAAACATCTGCATAATCAAAAAGGGGATGAACAAGGGCCTGCACGAGGGCAGTCTTCGTGCTGGACGGGAGAAAATTCTTAAGTCGGTATAATGCGCCAAGAGTCCCATGAACACGGCGAGAGACATTCGCAATATTAACTAATAATACTAGGACTACAAAGGAATTTTATGGAGACTTCTGTAGTTACCGCTAGGGGCGCTTCATATTAAAATCTTAACGCGCTCACGATCGACAGTGAACGAATTAAGTCAAAAAACTTACACCAAGGGCTCTGACACAGCCTTTGATGCACAGATAATTCTCACATATTTGGTTTTAATTAAATTATAGGACTTATTCGAAATTTTTCACATGTTCATTTGTGAATAAGCAGAGTAGGCCCCTACTTACAGATTTTATTTATAAACATAAAATAAAACTTTCTTTTCTTCTTCTCTGCTACATAACTGGTATTAAATTTTTTGGGTGTTACCAAATATTATTATCTTACACGTTATTTTTAACAAATAATATTGTTTATATCAATCTTAGAAATAAATTACTAAAAATGCATTAAGCATCTACTTACTCTTCCCCATCCTGTGGTATCCAAGAAAGTATCAAGTGGTGTTTCTCCTTCAGGAAGTACAAGTTGGCTTTCATAAATAACGGGCCCCTTTGTTAAATCTGACTTGGTATGATACGAGTTCATTGGGCTAACTACTTCTAAGGGATATCCCGTGATAGACCAGTTTCCACCTAGAGTCTTGCCGTTGTATTCGACATCGCTAAGAATGCCCTAAAACATATTTTCATTTATATGTAACTAACCAGACTAACTGACAAATCTTTATTTTCAAATAAAAACTATGGCAGGTCGATCGAAAATAAAACAACTTCTAAAATTAACACTGTCAGTGTTTCAATTATATACCTAATTGATCGAGCAATTTTTCTAAATATTTTCCTTCAAAAACTTTTTGGAAGTACAATTAGGAATATCTAAAAAGTCATATCAGTTCCTCCGCTCCTAAGTGATGTATTAATACAGATATCTTTGACATTTTAAAATATTTGTAAAAATATCTATTATGTTGTAAAATCTCACGGAAGAACGGGGTTGCCAAGCTGGACTTCACCATCTTTTTTAGGCGGACGTAATTAGTTTTATAATTTCATAACAGTTATCTAACTAATCAGTGATACAACAACAATCAGAAATCAGTTTTATTTCATTGGCATCTAGCAAAAGCTTAACAAAAGCCGTACAGGCCGGACATATCATAATTTAGCCGGACACGATCTAAAAAGCCAAACATGGCAGCTGCACAGATGGCAAATCTCGGAGGAGTCGATGAAGAGATAATATCGTTCAGCCTTCTATTACAAAGACTAAACATCTATCTCAAAATGGTCGTCAAACGGTTGAACGAGATTTTACTATCTTAAAACCTTCAACAATAGATATAATGAGTGAGTAATAAATCTGTTTAATATTATTGAAAAGATAATAGGCATTAAAGTCGTCATAACTATGTCTATATAGAAAATATGCAAAGATGTGACGTCACGAGACATTTCAACACAATGTATTAGTATAATTTATTGAAATAGCAAAAAACTATTCTTAAAGAAGCTAACTGACGGTTTGAAAAACAAAATTCGTCATCAACCTTTTAAGTATTGGGCCTGGTACCATCTAATACCTTACAGACATTTAAACAGTACTGTTTCCATTTGTAGAAAAGGTAATGTATTTGTAAGAAAGGTCTGAAAAGTGGGGCAATAATGGACTGATTACTATAGTGAATTCTACTGATGCAAATGAAATAATTAAAGAGTCAACAAGTTAGACCTTACCTTACGATCGTTCAAGAACGGACCGAAATTGATTCGCCCTTGGTTCTCGACTAGCAAGGACAACACAGAGTCCACTTTACTCTTGAGGTCCAACATATATATTTTGTACATTCTATTAATTGCTCCTTGCAGTTTCTGAGGACATAAATATTTAATTTAAGGTCATGTATAAAAACAATTGACATAAACTATGTTTCTTGAAAGTTAACTGACAAAAGAAATCTATAACTCCCTCCATTGGACTATATAAATATCTAGTATATATTATATTTTAATTTTTTTACAACGTGGTCTTTCTCATTCCCAGTTTTTTAGTGTGTCTAAATTATAGTCTAAGTATAACCAAAGATTTCAATCAATTTGTATTTTAAAGCTCGTAATTCTTGCTTACTTACAACATTCAATCTTTATAAATAATGTTAGTAGGTACTTAATTTCTATTACGGGTTTTTTTTTATTTGTACTAATATTCATTTGACTTACGCCATCAACGTAAACGTAAATCCAGTCCTTTGGTCTTGTAATGCTTAATAGTCCATCTGTTTCATTTAACTTGGTCTCGTATAGAATCAATCCACTTCTCTGTCGGAGTTTTTCAAAAGTGGGCAATAGTGGCCCAGACATCTCTGCGTATCCTTTACCGAGGAGAGTGCGGCCTTCACTCGATAACAACGATATTTTAGGTGTTAAAGAAATGAGGCCATAAGCACCTTTAGGAGATGGAACTGGCTCAGAAATATTGTCCTTCAAAAATTTATACTGGAATAGAAAGAGTTAAAATTTTGCTGAAAAACTTCAATATTAATATCAACTTCAATATCTATAAAAATATCAACTAAAATGTGATGTTGTTTGTTCTATAGTTATGTTCCGAATAAGAAACGCCACATTTTAGTTGATTTCAACCAAAATAGTAATAATAATCAGAAATCACCTATTCGATCGCGTAGTGAGCTAAAATTTGATTATAATCCAAATCAAGTTTAGATTTTTGATGAAAACAATGGATTGTTAAACATTAAACTTTTAATTTAATCATTCTCCGAATTTTTATGAAAATCTTATCTTTAACATAATCTTTGCGACATATATATACCTATAGGTAGAACTACATAATATGTTTGCAATTAAATAAAATTGAAACGACAAACATTTTTCAATTGAAAGCAATTTTTGGAGCGTATTAATCTAAAAGATTTGTACCTGTTTTAAAAGGTCTCTTATAGCGTAGTATTTGGGCGTTGGATCTCCTGCTTCTGAAAGCGGGGCATCATAGTCGTAGGAAGTAATATCTGGCTGATAGGTAGAGCCATAATTTGCACCTGATAATTAAATATTCAAAATCAATACAAGGCTGTGTGATAAATAAACGAGAACTCATTTCTGTTAATTTTACACAATAAGCGCATCCCAATGGACTTTCAACTACTTGCATTTTTAACGGGCTTCAAAAAAAGAAGGTTATCAATTCGAGGTGTATGTATGTAATTTTGCGATCTAGCAATTAAAACTGTGTTATAAAGTGTTGTAGTTGAAGAGCGTTAGAGACTTTCCATAATTACGCTAATATGAGCAGAATTACCCTAAAGGTAGGCCTTTCTAATGTTAGCGTATAAACACAAATAAAGAAACTGAAACTTTAAGGAGTTTCGGTTTCAATTGTTTTGATGTTTTAATGCATTTGTTTCTAATAGGAAAATGTGTTACCTGAAGTGAATTCGAAGTTAGATCCTCCAAAGAAAACATATATGTTTACATTGATTTTGTAGTCGAGCATATGACGTAGCGTGGTGACGACAGCGTCTGTGCTGACTTGTTGGAGCTTTTCTCCCCAGTGAGTCAACCAACCAGGATAGTATTCGGAGTTCATCAGGGGTCCTGATGGCATGAACTTGCGGAGGTCATCATATGCCGTTTTTATATCTGATGACAAATATAAAAAAAAAACACAATGGTCGTTTAGCGCAGTTGTGTGAAGAGTATTTTTGATTTTTAAAATGATGAATTAATAACAAAGAAATTACACAAATAACAAATTAGTATTGCATGGTTATTTACAAAAAACAAGCAAACAATATTGGGCTGAACTTAGTTTTTTTTTATTTAAAAATGTGCAAATAGTTTCAAAGTATCTGAAATGGAGATTCATTTTTCCTTTTTGGCTCGGCACCTCAATAAAGCTGAGCTTATGGTGTAACATTTGATATATAAAGATTCAAAACGATAATTTAATTACGTACCAAATCTGGGTCAGACCTAGAAATGCAATAACTTTGTCTATTATGATGGTATTTAAGTAAGAGTTGTGATATTAATCTTCTTTTTAGGACTTCGTGATATCCCAATGCGCTCAAATTTTTAGCCGGAAAGATATTATGATACAGAGTATAGAGAAAAGTAACCGAACATATGATAAGTATAATGGATACAACGGACTACGTAAAATTATTCTGGACACGAAAAAAATTTGTAAATTGTAATAGGTCTACGAGAATTTACTTTACTACGAGGATTAAAGTCTATAAACTTCCGTAAAGAAAAATTAGAAAGGTGTTTCAGTATCATATAAATTTATTGTTTTTCCGCGACTATTGTCCGCGTATATTATAGCTTATCTCACTCGCATGTGATTTATGTAGCTTGCCGTAAGTGAAAACGATTTTAAAATCGGTCCACGCTTTTGGAGCCCTTTCAATGCAAACCAAGTAACAATTCAATCTTTCCTTTATAATATTAGTATTTAGATTAGGCTTCATATTTAGATACTTTCCTTTACTATCACTACCACTTGGTCATCAACTAATAATGTCGCAATGCTTTAGACAATTTTGTGTAGCCTCGTCGACTTTACGAAATCGTAGTATAAACAAATTCGCTCCGCATGTATGACTCATACATAGACGTTAATGTATAATAAAGCAGAGGTTTGTATTTATGAATGTTAGTAAACATTTACATATTGTATTACGAGTAGAATCCCTTGGAATTGTATGTGACTGTTAAAGCCCGTATGTTGGTTAATCTTAGGCTTTATCAATAAATCTTGGGATTAACCAACACGAGTTGGTGCAACTAAGAATTTTATGAAATGATACGATTTTTCGAGATTTTCCATTTGAGTTTAGAACATGTTTAATTTGAAAATGACCGTTGGTAAGTGTTGGTATTGAAAATAACACAAAGAGTATTTTCGTAATCTTGAATTGGAAAAAGATTAACCAACCTTCGGGCTTTTACAGTAACATACTTTATCTAGGCAGAATATCTAATGGAAAATAATATTCATTATACTTAAATACTCGTATAATCCAAATGGAAGTTTTCTAAACATATGCATTACTGAACTATACAGATTAAATATAGCATTAATTATACAAAGATTACAAAAAAAATATTTATTCAAATGTATGATATATTTCGTACTTTTGCACGCATGATTAGTAAGGGCTTGATATTTGATTACAAACTCACAAAAGCAATAGCCCATCGACTGCGATCTGGACACCTTCCACTAAGTAATTTTTTGTATTTAATAAAATAAAGATCTATTGATACGAGTAATATAAGATGTACACTTGCTAGCGGAAGAGATAAATAATGTGTTTTTAACCTTATTAATTATAATAAAAATGACATGGGGTTTTCTAAAATATCCTAGCATATCCGTTGTCTGATGAAACTAAAATATAATGTAATAAATATGATTTCATAGATATATGTAAAACATGTTTATTTACATTTAATATATAATTAATTGGTTGGACATGAATGCTAAAGTTCAATAGTCCAAAAATATGTATATTATATACATCATCATTGAATCTGCTTACCATACCCGGGTCCAAAATCTATGGTTGTGAGTGCACCACTCACGAACCCGTTGCGGAAAAATAGTGAACTGGGGCCATCTGTGGTGTATAGCAACGCGTTTGTTCCTACGTGCTCCAGAACTATGTCCCTCATTTGTTGCATGTAGTGTCTGTCTGTTCCATAGCTGCCATATTCATTTTCTATCTGGATGTCCAACAGAAACAATATTGTCACCATGCTTCTATTATTTCTAGGAAAGTTACCTAATTATCATGCACGCAAGTACACGTGCCACTACAAGGATACTCAAGCACGTTGACAGGAGACGAAAAGTCTATAGATGTTGCGTAGCCTTACAAGGTTTTCTTTTTTTAAATAGCATGGAAGAACTATTAAAAATTATACAAAAAACGTTACACTTACCTGTACCAAAATTATTGGGCCTCCATTACCAAATAACAATGGAGTTAGTTGTTCAAATAATTTTGTCATCCATATCTTGGCTTCTCGAATAAAGTCTAAAATCATAAAGTATCACTAACTGTAACTAATACGAAATAATAATAAATTAACATTCATATACATGTTGTCATATTTCTTACTCTTATCAGTTGTACGGAGTTGCATATTAGGATATTTCCCCAATAACCAGTATGGAAGGCCACCCTGAAAATTGATTATTAAAATAATATAAAAATTTATAGGTATGTCCTATTTTGTAAAAAAAATATAATATTGTACAGGTACGATGTATGTAGGTGAAAAGAATCTCTAGTCTATTTAGAATTTCAAGTTCATCACTCTTTATAACCTAAACACACGTCATATATCATTGTCATTTATATTTTTATAACATAAAAATAGTGAGTGTACTTACAAAGACACGAGATTTAATGAGACATGAACAAAATTTAAACTTCTGTCCCTGTTACTTGATACTATATTTATTACAATATTTTTTTTGGGTATGGTGATATATTACGTTCTCCTTTCATATCCGTATAAACTGTAGGTATCTCCTACATAAGCCCTTTTCATTTTAAAGTGTGTTTCTTCTATAATTGACTTTTTGATATGATACTAAGTTGAAATATTGTTTTTTTGCAGTGACCTGGGGCTTTATGATTTAATGAAAAAACAGTCTCACCAAGTCTCTTTCTGCACAAATGTATGGTCCGGGCCTCAAGAGAACATGTAGACCCTCTTCAGCGGCAAGACGCACGAAAGCCGCAACGTCTCTACTGTTCTTGAAAGAATACTGTCTCTCTTCGGGTTCATGAAAACTCCATTCTACGTACCTGTTCAAAGAAAGAAGAATAACCAATTCCAATGCTTTGTAGATTGTTTATTTGTTCTATGAAAACATTTCAAAATCTTTACGCATAATTATACAATCAGAGATATACCAAAAGTGGCAAAATAGGAGTAGGACTCAGGTACAAAGGGTTCCGTACGATTATCTATGAAGAACGCAAAAGAAGTTTTGTTGTATGGGAGCCCCCTTAGATATTTGTTTTATTCTGGCAATAGAAATACATCATCTGTGCAAACTATGAAAATTGCAACTGTCCAACTTGTTCGTTGATAGACGGCCAGAGAGGTCGCAGTAATAGGGTCCCGTTTTACCCCTCGATTGCGGAACCCAAAAAAAGCTCTAAAATTGTACGCATTTATAAATTTCAAATAAAATTGGGTAAATTATATATCACATACAGTGCTCAGATTGCAAGATAAGAAGTTCTACTACAACACTCAGATCAAAAAGAGATCAATTTTCTACATTAACAAATACTTGACTGCTAATGGTAGGTACTGTAAAACTTTTAGATAGGTTTTTAGATATATTCTATATAAAATATATCTTTAGGTTAAAATAATTTATTGTTAGAAAACTTTCTTAGTATTTCAATAATGTATTGTTACAAATATATGTAAATGTGATGTTCAAAGTACTTACGTGGACACCGAATTCAGTCCAGCAGCTTTAAGCTTCCGTAGTCTATCACGCCAGTACTCTGAAGGCAATCTGAAGTAATGCAGCGAGCCTGATATTATGTGCAGCGGCTGTCCATCTAGCATGAACTCATTACCCACGATGCTAATAGTGTGAGATGTTTTCTAGAAAACCAGTTCTTATCATATAGAAAATACGGTTATTTTTCTTCTTCTTTTTTTATTAATGATTTTTTATGACCGTCCGTTCTCAATTATAACAATAAAAGCTGCTATTTTATGGCATCATTAATGTATGAGACCCAAATGGTTAGAGTATTAAATTATAAATTGAATTGATTCCCTCAAAATGAGTGTAAATGCCATAGTTTATTATTGAGTATCAAAAAGAATAAAACCTTTTATACTTGTATATATACCAGTCTCATATCTGTCTATATCTGAGTTGTTATGCATCTTTGTCTATACCACGAAGCTTAAACTTTGAACTATGTTCCTAATTTTTATTACCGTAAGAGAATAGCGTCCTTACTATAGAGAACACGAATCAATACCAATATCATCACCTGGAAAATGGGATAGTCCCTTTTTCAAACATTGTGGCCACAGAAATGTGATTGTGGCAGAGTGTTGATGAAATAGGAAACTATTCCATTAATATTCGAAGCTATATTAATTATTTATGTGCGTCTACAGCTAACATAAGTAAATTTCATACTAACAATGATATGGATCTAGAATGTCCTAAATAAAAATGTATTATTATTATTATAAACATGTTAATAAACGACGAACTTCCGTACAATCAGAAAACAGCCCTTTTCAATAGCTTTTTATAATCAATGTAATAAATGACTTTTGTAACTTTCAGTACGTCCATGATTATTCCTACTCGTGTTTCTTAAATATAATAATGAGATTTATTTGTCTCTAATTTTTGCATATGTTTTGTTGTTGGAAGCAGAACTAAAACTTTATGAAGGGTTTTAAACGTAAGTAGTATTGTAATTATACTACGTTTATTTCGCATAAAAAAATACAGCAAAGCTTCCAAAGATAATCAAAACACTACGAAAGCTCTATTCAAACGAAATACAAAATATATTATGCGATTTAGGTGTTTCTCGACGAGTTTTAAATATAAGTACCTATTTATATTTAACAAAAACAATTTTGTAAATGTGTACTCCAATACATAGGTACTTTAGAGAAAGAAATGATAAAAATTTAACCAACTTGCCACGCTACTTTTTGTTTAATATGTTTCTTGTAGACAATAAATAACTTTTTATTAGACTAAACAAAACATTTCTTCAAGTATAAATATATTTAAAAGCACACTGCGAGGGATTCATTTAAATGTTTTTATTGGCATTTCGTTTTTACGACATTCATAACAGATATTGTTGTCGGGTTTAATAGAAAATATCATGGTTTATAGAATGTTAAGTTTAGAGAGTTAATAGAAATTCTATAAATCATATGTTATAGACATTCTTACAAAGTTTATCATAATATTTCTTGTAATAATTTTACATAGAAAGTCACTGAAAGTAATAACGCGCACAAAACTAGGCAGAAGTTCTAAACATAAAAACGTATTGTTAAAAATATTATTTATTTTTATGCTATTGTTTGTTTTGTGACAATAATTATATTATTTCTTTATTGGAGTATTCTGATAACATCCCATACTGATTTAGGTCTTCACTGATAAAAGTTGTAGCATTACAAATATATTTCTTTTGTAATAATTCCATAACATTGTCATATTAAATTTCTCCTATTTCAATGAACGGCCATATGGTATGTAACAGACAACGCTGATAATTTAGTTGTCAACTGACTTATTTTGTTCACATTATTCAAAGCTAAAATAAATTAGACATTGCAAATAGAATTCAATTGAAGACTATTAAAGTGTAATTTTAATTTCTCAATAGTATTTCAATAAGTTGGTATGTCACTGTAGATATTTACTCCCTTTTTGGACAATTAAAACTTTGTGTATTTTTATAATTACTAGATCCCCCTCATTTAATAGGATTTTTTATATGCCTCTTATCTTCTTCTATTTTTGACAGTTTAAAATTTTCTATTTGGCTACTTTTCTAAAAAACTTTAAACCGTCGTGACTGCACCCACGTCAATTATAGATTATGAAATTCGCGTAAGACGTAGCTTCCCTTCGTGAAAAAAATCATTTCCATAATTCCAGAGTAATAACTGTTATATATAAATACTTTATTATATATTTGTTCTTGAGGTTGATAAAGATAAATGTTGTTTCCATAATTCGAAACGAAATATCGTCATTTTCCGAAACGCCGAATATGATTCCATTAAAAATCATTTTTCAATCATTTATAATGCCTTATTTATAGAATCTCCTTGGATATGATTTAAACAAAGTTATGGGAACATATCGGAATTTCCCGAATTTTTATTCGTGGTCAAATAGATTTTGGGATAAAAGGTCTTTTTACTCGTCTATAAATACAGCCTGATAAACTGAAACTCGTCTATAAATACTAAAACTCGTCTATAAATACAGTCTGATACCTGATAAACTTTAATCATACATAGTTGTGTAACTAACTGATATTTAATATCGTACTGTTTTTTAAATTTAAAATAGCTGAGATTACCTCCTCAGCCATGGTAACATCATAGTCGTCGTTGATTTTTATCACCGTGGGAACACCAGCGGATATTACATAGGAAGTAGATATAAATAGACAAAACCAAACAATCGGTCTCCAACCCATACTACAGCTACTGAAACAAAAGACATGACTTCAATCGTTGAGTAAATAATTATATCTCTAACGGACAGTTGCACAAACGTCCATTAAAAGTTTAATGAAGACTTGAAGCTCTTATAAATGTTCTTAATTTAAAAAATAATATTCGTAATGTCGCTTTAAACTAATGTCAGTTTTAATGGACATTTGTGCAATTGGGTTTGAAACGTAAGTTATACTAATCTAATAATATTATTATAACAAATCTTTATTGTCTACATAAAAGAATATTTCTATATGATGCTTACAATTTTTTTACTTAGATCTAATATTATATGATAATGAGCTTGATTGAAACTAGTATTTTAGCTTACAGCGCCTGTATTCTCAGAATTTTTGGCTATACGAAAATTAAATGAATTCTTGGAAATGGAGCCCATCGTCTTTATCAAGAGTTAAAAAAGAAACTTTTTGACAGGTCAGGTGATCAGAAGGCTGGTTTGTACCTCGCCCAAAGAACTAGTTTAGCTATTCAAAGAGGAAAAGGATCATTGAAAAAGTTTACTCTTACAAATAAAAAAAAAATATACATACAAATCAGTAAGATATCATGAAGTTGTGGGCAGACATTTATAAATTGGGAACCTCCTCCTTTTCAGGTACAACATAATCAAGGTTTTCAAGATAGGTCCCTTCCACATATTAAAAAGTCATCACTAAAATTTCGTGTACCTCTACTGTATAGGGAGTAGCTGGTTCCTAATTTAAATAATTATATTGTATTTTCCCTAAAGCAAAATAGTTAACCTCAAAATCAGCGATTTGCGTGAGATAACCACCACGGTTGACCAATGACAGTTAAGTCATTATTCCACGAAACCAAAAAACAGCCTACCGTTAAGAGGGCACCAAAAGCGACATTCTTTCTATTTTAAAATTAACTTTTATTTATTATTTATTTTACTATGATTCACATACCCTGTAAATAATAAAAAAACACCAATTGTGTCGGCTCACAAAGGGTTGCGAACCATTTAACTATGCGACGGGTTCGATGCTTAGGCAAATGAATGAAAGGCTGACTAAGCTTAAGAACTTGAATTTTTAACGGTAATAAAAGAAAAAGAAAACTGTAACAAAACAAAAAATGAATATTGAAACAGTTCACATGATTACCTTATTACAATTGTTAAATAGAACAAATACATAGCTTTTTTGGGTTACCTTTTAAATATATAATTTATTTAACACATTGAAACTTTATAAGTTATTCACTTTACACATTTTTAATTTTTACGGATAATATAATATTTTTAAATAAAATCTTGTTATGTATGGATGAGTAAATCATTTTTACGAAATGACAATCATAAAGAGTAGTCACAACATTACAAATATATAAAAACACATTTATTATATTATGAGAACTCCCCTTAAATATCCATTTTATTCTGTTTTTAATATTAGTTGTTATAGTGAAAATATAAATATACTATCTGTGACAACAACTCTCTAGCTATTACGGTTTATGAGATCCAGCGTGGTAACAGACAGATCTGCCATTTGCAATTATAGTCGAGAGAAGTAATTACTCGAGAAAATGTCATAAGTTAAGCAAATATTTTTAAAGCAATATACGAATTAGAATGAAATACGAACAGTTAATAACTAATAATAAAATATTCGAACTATTAACAGATATAACTTCATTCAAATTCTTGTTTAATTACTTGTCTTGACCATAGACACGAGTGTTGGTACAGGGTTTTTACTTTTTGAATACGGAATCCTAAAAATTTACAAACCACATCATATTACTAAGCATTTTCTTACTCACAAAGGATTCTTATCCTACATGCAACACTTTTACAATAATCGTTATAACTTGCGAGTATTAATTTAAATACTTCAATGTCTATCTTATTTCCGAGTACCGAGATATATAGAGACAGATATATTTTAGATTATGCCCAGCCCTAACTTCCTAACGCGATACGATGGAAGAAAAATAACAATATTCAAACAGGAAAATTGTTATTTCCCTGCATTTTTCGGCATGGCTTACGCTATTTATCATAAACTATACTTACAATAAGATTTGAAGACTTTCGATTATAATAATCTAGCAACTAATATACCTATTAGGTATTGAATACCCACTTAGACTGTATGTATTATTATTAAATATTAAAAACGGCAAAGTATTAAGATCATCGAAATTTAAAATAACTCATTTTAATCAAACATCAAGCTAATTGAATAAAAACAAATGTTTTCCTTAATAAATGTAAATTTATTTTGATATTAATTCGTATAATTAACAACGTAAATACAAAATATACAATTCATAACAATAAACAAGTTTAAGAGTATTCAAACTTTTTGCCGTAATTACTGTACTTTATATTAATAAATGTTTATTTATATTGTAAGCAAAGCTCTATTATAGTAAAATCAATTATATTTTAATTGCTTTACATAGCCCAAGTCTATTATCAAGGTTTATCTTTAACCCATACTGAATGTACGGGTTAAAGATTTCTTGCGGATATTATTATTCCACAATGTTGAAAAAGGTTTCACCAGGCCCTGAACTACCTTTATACCTAATGAGAAAGTATTTTAAGAAAAAAAAATAAAGCACTAAAAAGCACCTCACTAGGTGGCGACTCTACCAAAAGTAGATTTTTCCAGGAAACGAATGGCCCAAAGATAGTCATTTCCGTACCTTTTAACTAACATATTAAAAAGCTTAAATTTTCAAAGTTCGAAACTTAGATATCAATACAAATAATAAATAAAATTACAAATAGGATATGAGTTGTTTATTGAGTTTCGAAAATTAATTTACTTTTATACTTGAAACAAAAACCGAAAAGGTTGTCATGGAGAAATCAAGTAAGTTCCGAAGCGACATTTTGTTTGATTTCGAAAAACTAATGTTTTTTTAAACACTCCCTTATTACTTTACAATCTGTCAAGGTAAAGCCGTGAAAGCATAACAAATAGATATTTTCACATTAACAACATTAATTAAGAATGTTACTCTTCTCTCAATAAAATTATAATACATCAAGTTTGGTTTTAATTCAATACTTGGATTTCCGCCAGTCTGAATGGTCTTGTCTTCACTCAATCACTGTGTACATTCAAGAAAATAGCAATAAAATCCTTTGTGTACTTTTAAAGACTTCAGTAAGATAGCGGGAAGTGACTTTGTTTTTAATATCTATAGATATATGTTAAACTAGCTGACCCGGCGAACTCCGTACCGCCTTAAACCCGTTTTAAAAAAATAATCTTATGTATATACAAACCGTGTCATGAATCGTGGAATACATAAAAAATAGAATCATCCAATTTGGTGCAGTCGGAACTGGAATTCTGAAGTTATACGCGTATATACATACGTTTCGGCGATTCATTTTTATTCATCGATATTTAATTGTGTAAAAGGCAATTTTGATCTATATTACATGCATAACGCATTTAACTTATTTATTTGAATAAGGATTAAAACTGTATTGTTAAAAATAGGTTCGTAAATAACCCACAATTTTACAGTTTTAAGTATACGTAAAAAAAATGGTTATTGTGGGTTTTCCTTGGAATATAGACATATACCACCGCGTACTTTTTTGTAGATCTATTAAAGAGCTACAAATTTACAATAAAATGTTTTGTTATAACTCAAAAGTTTTTGGCAGCGTTTTCGAGGAAAGCTTCTGATCAGCTTTATTTAACCAATATCGTTGTAATATCGTCAGTTTGTACAAAACCTAAACTTACTATACACTAAAACCTTCCTCAAGAATTGCTCTATCTATTGTTGAAAACGGCATGAAAATCCGTCCAGTAGTTTTGGAGTTTATCGCAAGAAGACAGACAGAAGCGGCGGGGGACTTTGTTTTATAATATGTAGTGATGATTTTATTTATCATTAAAAACAATGAAGCTTCATAAAAGTTTTTACGTATTAAAAAATCACATCAATATTTAAATGTCAAAAATTTTTCAGTATATTTAACTAATTTTAGTCACTTATTTAACGAAATCATGCATAAGTTACAATATAATATAAAAATTCTCAATTCCTAGTTAATATTATTTTAACAACCTTTTAAAGTTCCTAAAAATGAAATTTATAATCTTTAATAAATTTTGTAGAAAAATTAAAGGAATGCTATTCACAAAACGAGACAATTTCATAATAATATTTTTTTTTCTTATTATATATTAAAAAAAGAAGTGGATAATAAAAACGTTGTCTAGAAAAGCATATTGCAATATAGTCAATATTTTGGGGTCATTGAATGTTACTTAAGTACTCACTTGAATACCTGTTTTTGAGAATCCTTTGTGAGTTTTTGCAACGTTAACTTTTTGTATTCGTCTTTGTTTAGAATTAAAAAGAATCGATAATTTGTGGAATACTTAAGTCAAATTTATTATAGTATATATATATATATATATATATATATATATATAATAAATTAAAAATGAGTAAACACTACATCTTTGGGGGAGGCCTATGCCCAGCAGTGGGCGTTTCTCGGTTGATATAATATGAAACACTGCATGCAACAAATAGTCCTTCAGTCAGATAATAGAAACATATTAGATACGTATTTTTTTTGCTTAAATTTTAACAAGTAATGACTTAGATAATAGGCATTAAAGTTAAAGAGTGGGGGTTTGTTATGTCACATTTTTGTAGAAAATGTACAAAAGCGTGACGACATGGGACATTTCAACTCAATATATCGCTATAATTTATTGATTACACAAAAAAATACGTATTCAATATTTTTCAACAATTTACCTGACGGACGAACAAACAAAAATTGATCGTCATCCCTACTGTAAAATATTTAATCCAACATGTTTTGATACAGAACACAACCGGTTTCTGTAAAGGGATAGTTTTGAATAGTCTCCCCTCGTATATCGGGGAACTGGTTGTATTTTGAAAGTTCGTTGATGTCGTTTCCTTAGAGATAAACATTCTATAAAAAAATGAGCACACTGAAAACTGATTTATGAAATGAAATCTAAACCGATTTGGACCTCTTTGTAATATATTTGGATATATGTTTATTGTAAATAAATGATTGACTGATTGTAAATAAATTATTTAACATTCCTTCTATTTTAAATTTGCCAACCGACGCCTTTTAGCAAACCTTTTTTTAATGTCTGTATTTTATTAATATATACACAAAAAAGGTTATTTTATAAGAATTATTTAAATAGTTTTTATTATATAAATATTTTACAATAACTAAAAGACCAGGTCCCTTATTTATAGTCAGTACAAATAGAAATGCTTACCAGTTATGCGGCAATGACCTAATCGAACAGACCCTCACGAGATGGTAATGAACTCTTCTGCCCTGCGGGGTCTCGGTTCTTGTTAGTAACAAATGAGACACATAACACGTGCGAACGCTCCGACCGTCTCTATAATACTCTCGCAGAATTTGTTATTATTCTATGCGTCTGAACATTTGCTTCTGACACACATTTCGTAACTGTTTTGTTTTAAAAAGCAACAAAATAAACCATAGAAATATAGCGATTTTAGATTATGTATGCATTTATGAGAATCTATTTGTATGTTTGCAATTTCGTTGATAAATTTTTAAAATGAAACATTAATAAGATACCTGCATAGAAAAAATTAAAAGTTACTTGCAAAGTTACTTTCCGGTGTGTCTCAATACAAGGCCTTTGACTTATAGCATTGCGAATTCATTATGAAGCTTCTCTAATGTAGTTGGAAACTTATAATCAAACAAATTTGTATATATGTACAATAACAGTTCTTTGTAACGCAAACTAATACACTTATTAATGTTATTATTTCATAATATTAACAAAAAATGCTCTTCAGTTTTTTATTGAATTGATGTTGTAATAGCTATTAGAATTAATTATACTTAAAGACCGGTTTCCATACAATAAGTAAATTATAATAATATGTCTCATCTATGCGTACCGTAGGAAGTGTTTATGAATGTTGTTTAAGTCTATTTTAGTGTATAATAGTTTTTCGCTATACAAGAGTGTATGTGATACAAAGTTGCTTTTTAACTGCGTGTTCATAATAGTTTGTTTTTTTCAAAAATTTGGATCCTGAGAGTTAGCGAGGGAATCAATAGAGCACGCGGTGAAATCTCTTTGCTCTCGTGTGCAACATGTAACTGTTCATCCCATGTCAGCGAGGAAATGATTAAATGCAAAGAAAACATTTACAATCATAAGATAATATGTACTTTCATTTTCAGATTAGGTATTAAATGCTACATTATAGTTTCACTCAATTCTGTTGAAGTCTAATAAACTTTGTCGTTGCTTAAACACTTATTTTAAATTAAATAGGCTATCAAATTGTTTTCAAGTTTCTAACCTAAAGCTTTAACATTAAGTCGTGAAAAGAAAATTACACGCGCAAAGCAAATAAAAAAAAGGACTCCAAGAAGGTTCCGAGTCTGAGTTTTTATCAAATTAAAAAAGTTTGTATGATAAATTCAGCACTATTGAGGTAGAAGTTTATAAGTTTAATAATGTGTATTTTAAAATATCTCAGCGTACAAACAGCGAGAAGCGACTTTATTTTGTACTATGCACTTGGTATAAATAAAACGAATACTGTATTTTATATTTTTTGTACATACACTAATGTAGTTTTTTGTATCTCTTTCTTATAGTTTTTTTTTTGCTGTAATATTGAAGAATAAAACATTTAAGCTTATTCTTACATTTCCATTTTAAACTCACGATATACCCGCGAGTATCATCTCAAGCCTGCTATTTCACAAAGTCACAAGCATGCAGTGTGATTATTGATGACACGCTTTATATGAGATTTTTAATTGTAAAAAAACACATAGCTTTGCAGGGAAAGTACTAAATAAAATAAGATGAAATACCAATTTTCTATCCTTTTCTTATTTTAAACTTTCTCTAAATCGAAAGGTCATTAAACGTAAATCACTGATATTAAAATGATGCCAATAAAATAAATAAAGATAAAAAAAGCTAGAATTATTTTTCTATATATATAAATCTTATATAATCAACTATATTTTACTAACATTTTTCATATTGATGATTTTGATGAAACAGTGAAAAATTATAGATAAAAGAAATATTTAAACACTAGAGAAAATATCTGATTGTTTATTAGTTTGTTTGCATCAAATAGGCTTCAAAACCACTGCTTGAAGCCACTTATAGGGTAAACACCAATTTCTTCCATGTAAGCTATTGTGAAAGAATATTGTATACTGTGGGGGGTGCAATATTAGGTAAGTATATACCTATGCGTGTCTGTGGTATAAACAATTAAGTTAAGTCATGTAGAGATTGAGATTTATTAAACATTTCTATAATACAAAAAATATATTTAATAGAGAAGATTGTTTTAAGGTATAGAGGAAATAACTTTTAACTGGTCGCTATAATGAAATGAAAATACCTTTATTAAAGTAGACTATTACAAGCCCTTTTGAATCGTCCAAAATTTTTTTTCCCCTACCACTTGTTCGTGCGAATGAAACTTATCATAACTAATGACATTTACATAAATCATGTCATCATCATCATCCCTACGTACGTCCCCACTGCAGGGGCTCAGGCCTTCCTTCTGGATGGTTATAGAGGTTGGGCCATGACCCTCCACGCGGGCCCAATGCGGACTGGAGGGTAAATTATGTTGTTTCATTTTGTAGTTGAAAGCAGGTAAAATTTGATCTATTGTATTTTTCTATAGAGAAAAAAATACAACTGGTTTCTAACTTTTGTGGCTATTTATAGTAGGTGCTTGTTATTTTCCTTGTTATGTAGATCATATTGACTTACTTTGTTATTTGTTTCTATGGGTTAATGTCGTTTATACAACACATTTTTGAAGACATTTCTTTTTTTATTTCATATAGGTATATGTAAACTTGAGCCCACATCTTGAGCATAACATACCCCCACCCCGGTGGATGTGAACAGTGAGCTCGAGATTTTTATACGTAAAAAATAGTAAACTATCGTGAAAAGTATATAGAATAAGCTTAAAGTGAAAAGTTATTTGTAAATGCTATGTAATCAAGTTATCCACAAAAATAAATAACTAATGGTCAAGATCCAAACTGTGAAAGGTGATAATGAATAATATAATATGGAAATAACGAAATAACTATAAATCTTTAAAGAAACAATATATAATACGATGAAGTGACATTTAAATCAATATAACATCTAAAACATTAAACAATACGCGTGAAAAGCGTTTGAAATAGATTCAAGTATACGTTAATTTTATTTGAACGTAAAATCAGTGCACTCTATTGTAAACCTTATTTACACGTTATTTGAAGTGATTACGTTATGCAGACAATGGATTAAACGATTGCATACGGTAATTTCCGAATAAGCCTGACATCGATGCCTAAGTTCGAATCTAGCATACTCAAATAGAGAATATATTTTTTCTTCCTCTTCTATTAATTTTTAATTGTTTTTGTTTATATTGGAGTAGTTCATTGCTCTCAAAAATATACCAATATATAACTTAATAATTAGCCGTTTATTGCTTAATCTATATCAACATGGAAAATATAACTATACGGCCGAGACTGAGAAGAGCAAAGTCTGATTTGGATATATCAATGAACTCAGAACATGAATTGAATACGTCTATATTAGATTCCACAATGCTTAGTACTTACAGCGAAATGCAGTGTAGCACAAATTACGACAAGGAGTATTCACAGGAAATCGAAAACTTAAAACTTATGCTTCAACAGGCTGAGCAAGAAATCGATAACTTAAACTTACAAAATAATGATTTAAGAAAAACCATAGAACAACAAAATACACAGATTGTCACTCTCAAAAAACTTACGTCTGAAATAGGTCAACGAAAAGAAACTTTTACACCACTCAGAAAAACAATAACTCGAATAAACTGTCATCATGTTTCGAGAATATCTCCGCTTCATATGTATAACACAGTGTTATTTAATACTCCACAAAAGTCAACTGAAATTACTAACTACCCGCATTATTTTCAAGAAAGCGATAAAAGATCTGCAAGTGATGCTCAGTTGATTGCATCCACAGATAGCGTCGTGAATTCGAGAGATAGCGCCACACATACGCAGAATTATGACAACACGAAACCGGACACTAAAAAATCAAGGTATTATTACTCGAAGATGAACAAATACAGTATTTGTCATTAAAAATTTATACTAAAAGGAAACACTTGCCGAACGCCCCTACTCCATAACCGCAATAGTTAAACCCGAAGCTACATGCTCCCAAATATTAACTAGTTGTAATGATTTAAAGTTTGACAAAAATGATGTTGTTATTTTAGCCGTTGGAATGAATGATAAAAATCCTTACTTATTATTTTCGGAGTTAAGTATAGCTTTATATAAATTAAGACATTCTAAAGTTTTTATTATTAATGTGCAATTTAATCCTTATTTAAAAAAAGATTTATTAAATTATAATATAAAATTATTAACTAAAAACTATCCCAATTGTAATTTTCTAGAAATAAATACTAAGAATTTTTTGACAAATAGAAACCATTATTTAAATCAATTATGTATGAAAATAAATTGTGAAATTGACTATATTACATACTATAACGAGTATCTTGCACCACAACAAATTAAAAAAAGGTTATTAAAAAGTATGAAATTGAACAATCATTTAAATAAATCTAAAAAAAATAAAATAACTCTGATACAGAAAACTATACCGTTCTACTTTAGAAAAAAGGTAATAGATAAATTAACGGTTAGCCCAAATGATAATTTTTTTCGTATGCAGAAATCGAGTTGCCCTATTTCATCAGAACATAGCGAGCATTCTAAGCAAATGTGATTTATTTGAAATAGCATTAGAAGAACTTAAAAATGAATTAGGGGATATTGACATAATATGTTTAACCGAAACATTCATGAAACAAGGTTCGCAGTGTAATCTGAATATAAAGGGTTACTATATAGCTTCCGCGTTTTGTAGGACAGAACGTAGGGGTGGTAGTTGCATATTGCTGAAATGTAATTTAGATTCAAAAATATATGATATAACAGAAGCCATGCCGTTTGTGTTTGAATGTTGCGCTACTGAAATTTTACAATATAATCTGATAATAATTTGCATTTATAGGACACCAACATCTAATATTGACATATTTTTTATACAATTGGAAAATTTACTCAATAGACTATCACGAAAAAGGAAAAAATATATTATTTTGTGTGGCGACTGGAACATTGACATGATGAAATCCGACAGATACTCTAGGGAATTAACAAGTATTCTTCATAACCACAACATATATAATCATATTAATAAGCCTACTCGTAAAAATGCCTGCTTAGATATTATTGTAAGTAATATACATAGTGCGGTAACTGCTAAAATACATTATCTATGTTTATCAGACCATGAAACGGGTCAAAGCGTTACATTTGTTCTCGATAATAATGCAAAGTACCAAAAATCGCCAAGGATTTGGTTTGAAAAGAAACGTGATATGGACACACATAATATAAAAAATTTTTTAGAGTGTTTGTCATCTTTGTCATTCAATGAAGTACTACAAGAAGAAGATACTGAAAAAGCATTTGATCTTTTTCACGAACTTTATAAAATGTTTTTTGACTTATGTTTTCCAAAAATAACAATAAAAAGGGTTAATAATCCTATTAAAAACCGTTGGCTTACTAAAGGCATAAAAAAATGCTGTATTCATAAGCGACGTCTTTACCTTCAATATCGTCTAAACCCAACAAATAAACATTTGAAGAAAAATAAATATTTGTCTTACTCTAAGATACTAAAAAAATGTATGTATCAAGCGCAAAGGAAAACTATTTCTATTTACATATCTAGAGCAAAAAATGTTTGCAAGTCGACGTGGGATATAATCAAATATAATTTTATAAACAAAGAAAATAAAAAGGACATCACAGAAATTAAACTCAATGACAATTCATATATTAATGACCCAATTCAAATAAGTGACAATTTTAATGAATATTTTATTAATGAAACTAATGCTAATAATGAATTAATTGACATATCTTATGCAATACGCAACATACCAATCTGTTCAAATAGTATCTACCTAACACCGGTTAATGAAAATGATATTTATAAGATAATAAAAAAATTTAAAAAACACACACTCAACTGGCATCGATGAATTAAGTACGGATATCATAAAAAAAGTGCTAGTTTTGTTGTACATCCAGTAACTCACATTATAAATTTGTCTTTTATGCAGGGTCATTTTCCTTCAGTATTAAAACGCTCATTAATTAAACCATTACATAAAAAAGGATCTTTCAATGAACTAAGTAATTATAGACCAATTACACTTATTTCAATCTTCTCAAAAGTATTTGAAAAAGTGATGTATGACAAAGTTTACTCTTTTATCTCATCTCAAGATACATTAAAAGATGAACAGTTTGGATTTCGAAAAAACAGAAGTACGACTCTGGCATGTTTTAATCTCATAAAACATGTTACACATAACCTCGATCTTAAACTAAATACTTTGGCAATATTCCTGGACATGAGCAAAGCATTTGATTTTGTTTCACACAGGTTACTCCTACACAAATGAGATAGATATGGAATAAGGGGCAATGCCTTAGAATGGATGAAAAGTTATCTAAGCAACCGCACACAGTGTGTCGAAATATCTAAGATGCAAGGTAATTTTAGAAAATCTTATACTTCTAAATATACACTAAATCATTGTGGAGTACCCCAGGGTAGCGTACTTGGACCACTTTTATTTTTATTATATATCAATGATTTGCCCAGTGTTACTGACCAAAAGTGTGTCCTATTTGCAGATGACACAACACTTGTTATCAGAGGTCAGGATTGTGATGATATTGAACGAATAGCTAACACTGAATTCAGAAAAGTCACACAATGGCTGGAGAAAAATAACCTAAAAATTAACATTAATAAAACGAAATACTTTCAATTTAAAACTACAAATACTAAAACTAGACCAATAGATATATGGCATAAAGATAACAAACTAGTAGAAGTAAATGAAACAAATTTCTTAGGGATCACGATAGATAGATTATGTAATTGGAAGGCACATATAGACATGGTTGCTGCCAAATTGGATAAATTTATATTTGCTCTTAATAGAATTAGACAAGTGGCCTCTAAACAATCCGCTCTAATAGCATATCATAGTTACGTCTCATCTGTGTTGCGATATGGTATAGTGATATGGGGTAATTCGGTCGATGCAATTCGTGCTTTTAAAATACAAAAAAAAAATGCATACGGTCAGTCTGTGGTGCAGGCTACTTGGACTCATGTAAGCCTTTGTTTAAATCATTAAATGTATTACCACTTCCATGTTTATATATTTTTGAAATGGGGATATTTGTAAAAAAACATTTCCATTTATTTAAACAAAATAAAGATTTTGCACATACAGGTAGGAAGGGTATAAATTTATGTATTCCAACTCAAAGACTCGTTGTGAATTCGAAGAACTCATATTGTATGAGTATACGCATTTATAATAAATTACCGAATAATATTAAAACTATTGATAATGTTATTACATTCAAATCCTGTTTATTTAAATATTTAATGGATAAAAATTATTATTCAATTAATGAATTCTTGCAAGATAAATCTCATTCTTAATTATTATATGAATGCTTTGATTATAACATGAACCTATTGTATCTTTTGACTATTATTTGACATTTTCTATTTTTTATGTAATTTAATTTTTTGACATTTTCTTATTATATAAAATCAGACAATATTTGCACATCGTCTTGACGATAAAATATGCTGGTCTAACATTGTAAAAGAACCTTGTAACCATATTTTCGCAAATAAATAAATATTATTATTATCTTTGTATTTAAAAATTTACTCTTCCCGACCCCTCTACGATTCGAGGGTTGGGAGGATTCCCCCCGGCAGAGGGGGCCAGACGGCCGGGGGTCAGGGCGACAAAGAGAGAAAACGGCGGACGATCCTTGCGTTATCGAGCAAGATCGCCCGCTGGAGCCTCGCAATCATTGGTCCGTCACGGAGTCCCAACCTCTTCAGATGGTCGTGAAGAGAAGTTGTCTTGGCCATTCGTTGACACTACGACTGGGATGATCTCAGTGGATGACACTCGCCACATATCGGTAACCTCGTGCGCCAGGTTCAGATACTTAAGTTTTTTATCTGATTCGGCTTTCACGAGGTTTTCATCGAATGGGACGGTGACATCCACTAAGAACACCCGAGATTCCGCCCGGTCCATCAGTACGATATCAGGCTTGTTCGCAGGAACAGTCCTGTCCGTAATGACGGACCGGTCCCAGTACAATCGAGCGCGGTCGTTTTCAAGAACTGGCTCCGGCACATACTTATAGTACGGCACCTTTTCGCCTATGAGGCCGTATTTGAAGGCCAGCTCGAGATGGGAGATGGAGTATTTTGGCTGCTTGGTCATGTCTGTGCAAATACTCGGTATTAGCCAGTACAGGACAACCGGAAGTAATATGCCTGAGTGACTCACCGGGCTGGTGACAGGCTCTACAAACGTCCTCTGTCCCATCCTTCAGGATATACTTCCGGTAGTTTCGGGTCATAATGACCTGGTCCTGTATTGCACAGACAAAACCTTCGGTTTCCCCAAAGAGGTCCCCGAAGCGCAGCCAATGCACGGAGGCTCTCGGATCCACGTGACGCTCGTGAAGCGCCTTGTAGAACCTACCGTGCAACTCCTTCTCCCTCCAAACGGCCTCTCGGTCAGTGGTGCTAAGTACTGCTGGTTCTCGCCATTGCTCGGTGGCCAAAGAGAGAGGGGTTAGTCCTACATCATCAATGGTGCATCCTATGGAGTGTCAAAGTTGTGCGGACTTTCCGATCCAGGGCGTCCAATTCGGTCTGAGTCCATCTGAGTATGCCAAAGGTGTACATTAGGACTGGCATGACCCAACCGTTAATGGCCCTGACTTTGTTGACGCCTGACAGGTAGCTTTCAAGCACCTTAGTCAGGCGTCTCAAAAAGGCCTCCTTAACGGATTGTTTGACGTCCGCCATATGCACACCCAGATTCTGTGACATACCCAGATACCGGTATGTATCAGTTTCGGAGAGGGTACGGATGGTGGATCCATCCGGTAGGTCCACTTGGGTGATATCCGACCTCTATCCACATGGATAACCGCACACTTGTCCAGCCCAAACTCCATGCTGATGGAGCTACTGAAATCCTTTGTGATTTTTAGCAGCTCCGCCAGCCTCTGAGCATTTGGAGCAAGCAACTTGAGATCATCCATGTAGAAGAGGTGAGATATTTAGAACAATCCTCTCTTCAACTGAAAACCTGTCCCTGGTTTATCCAGCAAAGTGCTAAGCGGATTTAGGGACAGGCAAAACCAAAGTGGACTCAGACAATCGCCCTGGAATATACCCCTCTCAATCTTTATTCGGTCTTCCGCATCCGACAGCTGCACCCCGAACAGATTAAGCTGCGTACTCCACTGCCCCATACAGGTCTCGAGGAAGTTTCAAACTGTACTATCGATCTTGTACAGCTCGAGGACCCTCTTCAACCACGTATGGGGAACCGAGTCGAACGCTTTTTTGTAGTCTATCCAGGCTGCAGAGAAGTTGCGTCGGTTGCGTTTGACCTGTTGGGCCACGACCGCATCGATCAGGAGAAGCTCCTTTTAACCGCGGCTCCCGCCCCTGCATCCATTCTGAGTGTCCACCATGATTATTATCATTATCATGATGTGGCTTGGCCAGGTCAATGAATAATTTGCGTTTAACGATAATGGACGGTTGATCGTATGACTATTTCATGATGTGGCCAAGTATTAGTTATATTAGTAAGAGGCGCTGATGTCGCATTGATTTTGTGATACATGACGTATTTTCATTTTTAGGTTATATAATAAATTAAGGAAAGTAGGTGACTAAGCAACGGAATACAATTACTTGATTAATTTTAGTGAGATAATAGGGATGATGACTAATTTTTGTTTGTTTGTCCGTCAGGTAGAGTGTTAAAAAATATTAAACACGTATTTTTTTATTTTTTTCGTAATCATAAAATTACGGTGTTACATTGAGTTGAAATTTCGCATGACGTCATGTTAGAGTACGTTTTCTACTCAACTGTGACGTAGCGAGCCCCCACTCCTCAACTTTTATGCCTATTATCTAAGCTATTTCTTCTTAAATTGAAGTAAAAAAAAATACGTATGTAATATTTTTCTATTATCTGACTGACGGACTAAATAGAATTGCATTTTTCTTACCCAGTCATCATCCCTATTGTAGGAGTTTAGTGCGAAGGTGCGGCGGCTAAGGCTATTCTATAGTTTTATGGATATTCGCAATATTAAGATAAAGACAAGATTTTGATCTAGCTCCAGAGGATGATAAAAATATATTTAAGAATATAAAAGTTTTTGAGATATGAACTGAACTAAATTTACTTATGATTCACTACTGTAGGGTTGGTAAGAAATGCATAACGCTAACGAACAAATAAAGTTATTTCAACAAATAATCAGATTTCTTTTTTGAACATTTATATTAATATTATAACCAAACGTGGATTGATATTATTAAACGTTGACGCTTAAATGATATGATCAACTGTAGGTGGCCATTTCATGAAATGGCCAGCAGGATCATGAAATCACCAATTCTAAGATACGGCCGTGACGTCTATACTGTTGTAATTTTGCATTCACACTGATCTTTAATGACTCCTATTTCGGGGTATCTGGGCCTGGTGGTTTATTTGAGCATTTGTCATTATAACATTTTCCAGTTTATTTTAATAATTGTAAGGGAACAAAGCCACTTTAGCAAGATGGGTGACTTAAAATTGCTTTCGCGTGTTCTTCCTTGTGTTGGTCTCGGCTGTATCTGTGTAAAGGTGTGCTGTACCACCGTTTATATTTTCTAGGTTTCAGCATGCAAACTTTTTGTCTTTGATAATCAACATCATTTCTTTTAATTATTCACCTTTTATAATTTGAAATTTTGACTAATCAAATATGCTCTTTATGAATGTGAGTGCGTAAAAAAGCGGCTGTTGTGAACATGTTACCTATTATATATTTAAATATTAAATATTATAATAATGAAGTTATTATGATTAAAATAGAAATTATATATTATTTGAAATAAAATTATATCTTGAAATATCGTCCAAGTTTACCTATCACGGAAAACAAAAAAAAGGTTTTTTTTATCCTTTACTTACTTACCATAAAATAAATCAATTCTCAAGGTTAGCCAGCATTTCATTAATTAGTCGAAGCATCGAACCCGTTTCATCTGTACTCATTAAAACCCACCAATTCGCCCAAAGCCCGCGTGGTGAGCCCATTGTCACTAATCGCTTTGACCGATTCCATCCATAGGGACGGTTATACACTAGTACGTCTGTAGTCTGGTGATGATGATGAAGCGAACTATAATAGAAATAGATCCTTAATATCTCCGACGTTATTGCTACCGTGTACTTTGTTCGTAATGAGCCGGTGCCAACAGAATCGATATAATAAATTTTTCATCACCCATCCTATGACTGACCATTGTGAAAGTTGCTTAACAACCATATTACATACTGAGCGTGTTAGCCACTGAGCTCGTCGTAATGTTATTATAAATTTTAAATTGTTTACCTTAATAAATGTGTTTTCATAAATTTCATATATAGTGAGTTGCACAAACGTCCATTAGCGTTTAATGACGCCTTTAAGCTCCAATGAATGTCCAATCTGTATGAGTAATGGCGATTTTAAATGGACGTTTGTGCAACTGGCAGATAGACTAATAGATTTATATTATTATTTGTTGTGTATTTCGAACTCTAAATCAAGGACTGTCGCACACTAAATTAAAATTTACACAACTGGAAACTTAACGTATAAATTTTTCATCTTAAAGGGAACATAGTAAATCAGACGTAAGATCTAATGTCTGTATTACCGGAAGTTTGCATTAGTACGCTCAACCGAATGACGGATTATACGTCGAGCGTGCAATGTTTTTTTAATAACTAGCTTTCCGCCAGCGGCTTCGCCCCCGTAGTCTTGTATTATATTATATCACCCTATCTATGGAAAAAAAAACTGCATCAAAATTTAAAGCATATATACGGACATAGGGACACAGAAAGCGACTTTGATTAATACTATCTAGTGATATGGCCGGCACGAATGTGTGCAAAGTTAAATGTCATTATTATTATAAATTTTGTTTGTAATTAATAATAACGTTCATAAATAGATGATGCGCGTCAGATATGCGCTTAGGCTTTATTTTCCACGTTTGCAAAATTTCCAGTTAAGTCCGTGTTTGACTAAGCGTGCGAAGCATGTATGTTCTGCGCCCCCGATGCCCGTCGAGTCAAACATTCACGTTTGTTAGAAAGCTAATGATCCAAAAGGAAACTAAATAGTAATGGGATGCATAATAATAGTAATGCTCAAGCAGTGCATTCAACATTTGCGTGACAAGTGTGTTACTGCAGTGATATCCTTGTATTAACTGCGCCCGCGACAAGGGTTGCCATATTTGACATTTTAGGTTGTGTCCAGCTAAATATTTATATGGTTTTGTTTAAATTCCAAATAATGACGACGCTAAGCCAGATTTATGATTGTTTTTTTAATGGTAATGAAAGTTATGGTTATAAAATTAAAAAGGTAGGTCTAGTTTTAAAAAAGTGATATTTGTCTTTTAATGATGGTCTATATCCGACCTAAAACAGTTAGGCTTATTTATTTTAGAAGATGGCAACCCTACCCGTGACACACGAAGCGGACCGTGTACTATGATCTCATTTTCATAGTATTTCCCTACCCGGTTGTTTGTAATTGTTGATATTTTGTTTTTTTCTATTGAAAAACAATTAAACGCCAACGGAAGCATTTTATTTTGCTAACAGCCTTCATCCGTCCGGTTTAGTCTCATAAAAGATAAATCTAGAGGAAAGTTTCACTACTGATATTATGTTATGATACCTTTATGATACAGATCTTTGTACAGAGGAAACAACGCTACTATTACAAGTTAATTTCTCCCAACCAATTAAATTACCATTCTTCGTCCGCTTAGTGGTGATAAACGTTCCTTAATAAATTTTCTAAAAGGGAAATCGGGCGCGTGATTTTGCGGGCAGAGTACGATACTAACTATTACTATGATTTTGGTTATCTATAGAAACAAACTATGTTTAGATCATGCTACGAAGGTTTGTATCGTCATAGCATAATCAGTCAAACCCACTTTGGTCAGGCTTATAGACCTATAATCCGCTAATGTGGAAATATAAAGTGAAATTTTTCCACAATTTTTCCGAATACCGCACATCACATTTGAAAGTCTAGAGACACGGTCGAATGGTGACTTATTTCTTTTATTATATAGTAATAATTTGTTATAATAAGTATAAATGAACATAATAGAGAGTAATCGTACGACGCGGTGACAGCGGCAAGTCGATGGCGGAACGGGCGGGCTGACCTAGTGGTTGCAGGCGCATGAAAGCGACATCGCATAATGACAGTGGCAGGGCACAGCAAGCGCGCGATGCCGTGCTATAGTGCTCGCGCACCTCGCCATGCGCACACGCTCGCCAGATGGCGCGTCGCCTGGCGCTGCTTGCGCTGCTGGCATGCGCGGCGATCGCGCGGCCCTCGCGTCCTTACTCCGCAGAGAATTCAGACTCCGAGTCTCTCGACCCTTTCACGTTATGGGACGATTACGAAGATTCTTTTGAGACCAAACGACCTACTGCGAAACCCGGTACAAAAATCATACTAAAGAGTAAACTTCCCAAAGTGAATATGACGAAAAACACTCAAAGTGACGATGCTAAGAAAAAAGTAATAAAAACAACTCATATCAATATAGCAAGCCATACAAACTTTATAGTGACAAAACGGCCCGTGTTGTACAATAAGGTAAAAAAACCGGGATCGATAGTGAATGTTGGTGATGATTATGTGATTGTGGAAGCGTCAAACGTTGCTGCTAGTGAGCCGCCCAAGAAACCGGTGACGACTCGCCGTCCGCCCTCGACCCGCCGCTCAACAACCCGTCGTCCACCGGCGACTTCAAAACGGCCAACTGTAAGACCAGTTCGAACACCTTCCAAAACTACAAAGACACCAACGAGAAAGAAAACTACAACATGCTCTCCGAAAAACCCCGGATGGCTCTCTTCATTTTTTCAACAGAATAAAATAAAGAAACCACTGAAATCCGCAAGCACAGGTTGGTTTTTAGGTAGGTGTAGTCCTAAAACTCTTCTGAGATACTTGTAATTTGCAAAGCAATGTTTACTTTTACTTGAACGAGGTTACTGACGTCATGACTAAGTTATTAAAGAGATTTTCCGAATTTAAACGTGTCTTTCCGGAGGAACTTGGCAATAATGTATACATAATTTGGCCGCCCATGCAATTACCGACCTTTCTTGAACTAATGTAGTAGTAATAACTACATTTTCGAGTTGTTTGTATATTAGCCTTCTTTCTTTTTTTAGGGATTCATGCAAAAATTGACAAGTATTTGCAAATTGCAAATAGTTAAATGCGCTGCTGAAATAAAAGTGGATAAAATATAAATTTTGTTCTTTTGAAGACTTTTTTTTACTAATATCTTAATGAATTTAATCTATCCAATAACAGAGATAGAGAGTGTACGAATAAAAGAGATAATACTTTTTATTCTACATTACGTATAGACGCGAAAAGCCAGTGGAGTGAGTAAAAACCAAAAACATATTTATACTAGCTTTTGCCCGCGACTTCGTCCGCGTGGTAAAGTTATTTTGAGCAGCATTTCTAAAGAATATTTATTTATTCGTTCCATTAGGTACTGATAGGTTCAAACTAATATATGTACATCCCCCATCATCCCTTATTTTATCCCCACGGGGGTTGAATTTGTCAAAATTCTATTTAAGCGAACGTCTTTATCATAGTAGCTCAAATCTTTAATTTCAGTTCAATCAGTCGAAAATCTAAAAAGATTTATACAAACTTTTATCCCCTATTTTATACCCTTAGGGGTGAAATTTATCAAAATCCTTTCTTAGGGAATGCCTACGTCAAAGTAGCTTTATGCATGCAAAGTCTCAGCTCAATCGGTTTAAAATTGACTAAGTTTCATACAAACTTTCATCCCCTATTTTATCCCCTTGGGGGTAGAATTGATCAAAATCCTTTCTTAGCGGAAGCCTACGTCATAACATCTACCTGTATGCCAAATTTCAGCCCGATACGTGCAGTGGTTTGGACTGTGCGTTGATAGATCACTATGTCAGTCAGTCACCTTTGAGTTATATATATTTAGATTTCTAATACAATTTCGAAGTGTTACGAGTCGTCCACATAAACTAAAGTAAGTAATAAAAATATTCTTAGTTAAATAAATAGCATTGGCAATGCAAAACTGATAATATGTAATAAATTAATGAGTAAATTATAGTTACTGCTAATAATGCTAATATAATAATGCTACTGCTAATAGTTACTGCTAATAATGAGTAATTAAACTGTAGGCTTTGCATTATAAAGGTGTTCAGGTTAAAGCTTATTATACGTAACCTGCAAACAGGAGTGGCACCCGGCACGTATATCTTAATGTGAGCTGAGAACTAGTTGCTAAAGTCGGCCACGCTTAGTCATAGTTGAATCTGATTTGTTTGTTCCTGTAGAAACTGCGGGATGAAGTAGAGGAAAAGATAATCTTCTTATATATAAAAATGAATCGCAAAATGTGTTGGTAAGCGCATAACTCAACAACGCCTCGACCAATTTGGCCAAATCTTTTTTTAAAATGTTCGTTGAAGTTCAAGGATGGTTTTTACGGCGAGAAAAATTAGAATTATTGCTGGAAAAACCCTAAAAATAGCCCTTTTCTTTTTCCCATACAAATGATTTGTAACTAAAACGTAGTCAATTTGAGCTTTATTGCTATGGTATAAAGTTCATATTAAATTACAAGCACTCACTGTTGTCTAAGCAATGTAGGTGTGTTCCTAACGTCAAAGATCATATCTATCAAAACAATGTGCGTGTGTGCGTTGGAGCACAGAATACATAGTTGGAGGAGTTTAATGTCGCGTTCCGAAACTCGCGTTTCTTTTGTATAAATAAAACAATTCGTACGGCTTAAAAGGATTTGACTTCAAGTCATACCAATTTAAAAAAAAATAGTTGTCTGTGAATTACTTACTTTAAAATCCTTATAGGTATATGTTTTATTTAATTATTTTTTATTCACAACGCCCTATCACCAGGGTGACGGTTCTGTTCAGGAGAATTTTTTTAAATACGTAAGCAAAAAACTGCCACATTACAAATCTTTTTGACAGGACGAAGTCTGTCGGGTCAGCTAGTTTTAAATATAAATACAGTCAATCGACTCCTTTGACCTCTTTCGAGTTTAGTGTTAATAAGTTACTTAGAAAAATCCCTTTATATATTGAATATACATTTATTAAATTACAGATAACATTCCATTAAGGTTTTATAACATAGTAGCAATTTATTTTATCAATAACCACTAAAAGCACTTCAAATTCCACTTTTACCTATTTTGGTTTTCTCTTAGATCTATATTTTACAGTATTTACTACCTGTTACACATGATCACGTAGTCAGAGATAACTAAAAGAAACGTAGGTGTCATAAACACTGATACTTTTTAGAGTCTTTGACAATGGGTTTAATTTTGAAGGGCTAAGTGATAACTTCAAATCATTTTCAAACAATAATTCAACAATATTGTATACATGTGAACAATTGCTAGTAATTTCAGAATCAAGCCCCGATTCCTATAGAGGTATTCTCCTTGCAGAACTCAAACTAGACCTCGGAATTGTGTTTCCGTTTCGACGAACATCCCATCATCTCATGTAGCTAAATAAAAATAAAGTAAATAAGGGGTGAATATCTGTTCTGTGGTCAAACCGATAATAGGTAGCTTCTTTTGGAGCATATCATTGTAAGGTAAACTTTTAATTAAAATAATCGGGATCTATTAGCCTCCAGCTGTTTATAACTGGTATGTCTTTCGACACATTTGAGAGGAAAATGGTAGACTAGTCGAAAATCATGCAGAGCATTGTTTTTGGTGATCGAAAACCATTCGGATCCGAGAGAACAACCACAGTCCCGTCTGTTGGCCTAGATGACCCTTTAGGAGCCGGTTTGGTATTTCCCATCGCTAGAAATTTATAGAAATTCCAATCAGACTGCTTATCTGTCCCACTGCCTTGCTCGCTTGTCACCCTTTTTATAGACTGAAATCCAAAACTCAGCTACGGACACTGCAATCGGTGGGTGTTACATCTCCACCTTCAAAAGATCCTAACTCAACCCAGCCATACATTCACATTCTCTCCCAGGTGAATATTTAACACTAAATCCAAAATCTCTTCGTATTAGTATGTTTAAAAAACTAATCATAATTAAGTTACACTCGCGCAGCAAGAATCCAGATTAAAATGGCCGATCGGCACATCTTATATATAAAGCAATTACTCGATAATCCAAAATCATAACACGCTATACATTATCACGTAATGTGTAATGTATAGCAGGATAATTACGAGTAGTTTATAGACGACAGTACACAAATAACGATTAAAAGAAGAGAGAAATAGACCGTCTCCCCCCGATAATTTTTATAGTATTGGAAAAATGGATATCAGTAATTTGAAATGGAGAAAGGTAGCTTTAAATATAAACAACTAATACCTGCCGATAATATTGTTTTGATATCTATCAACAATAGAATCACAGTCAGTGACATCCTTCTTTGTCTAGATGGTAAGACCAACAAAACTAAAACTCCAGTTTACTTACGAAATGTAATTGATAATTTTATTATACTAGCTGACATGGCAAACGTTGTTTCGCCATATAAACTTGGAATGGACCACCCTTATCACTTAGGGGTATAAGAAATAGATTCTTAGACCTACTGAATATACATATAAAATTTTATCACAATCGATCAAGCCGTTTCGGAGGAGTATGATAACTAAATCTGAGAGATATGAGAATTATGTATATTAGATTTATCTGGGTTTGTTCAGCCTTTCCAAGGAATCCTTTCATTTATACCCATCTTATGAGAGCTCGATATCTAGACTACTATTGTAATGGTCAGCCATATTGGATTTAGAAGTAAGTAAATGTATTATTTTTGAATTTTTCTTAGTAAACCCTTTAATTTGCTTTCCATGTCATGTAACTTTGCTAACCATGTACTGTCAATTAAACTAAATTTAGCTGTAAAATTTAACGAATAAATTGTAAGTTAAATAAAAGCTTTTCATAAATCGGAATAATCATAATCAGTAAATTCTTATTTTCATAATTTCCCGTTATTTGGTTGACAACATGAAACGCTCTCTTGGATAGGTGATTTACTGTTAATATTACTATGTTCAAAGTTAATGTAATAACACAGTTATTTTTTTAGGCACGTGAGAACATTTTTATGGATAAGAAATGCGTTTTATTGACATTTTAATGTTTTTAATTAGAATATTGTCTGGTTAAAATGGATGTGTGGGCAAAAACTATAAATAATAAAAAGCTACTGCAATATAAACTTGGACCTATTTCTGGTTTGACTGCAACTAATTTGCACTACTGCACTTCTTTTTTCCTACAAACAAAAACAAATGGCGGATCCAATGTCATATTCATCATTAATCAAACAAATTCAATAATTTTTAGAATACTAGTCCTCAAAAGGGAAAATCTAGAAGCATATCTGCCACGACACAAATTTGTTTCGAAACTAATGAATCGATTGAGTTAAAATGCCCTTTCCCTCCTGTATTTTAATCAATCAATCATTTATTGCATAAAAATATGGTGTAACAGATGTCATAAAATAAGGGTATCACATATTTACTGTTTGACAGTGTGCAATAGTTTTAGTAGATATATAAATTTACATTTTAATCTATTCATGCATTAACTGTGATATTATTTTATTCGCACATCATTAACTTAAAAACATTTCATTCAGTTCCTATTACATATTACTTTAGTCTTATAGTTTAAAAATAATTAATAGTAATAATGTCAAAATTCGAATCAATTTATATGTTACATAAATAATAAGTCAAGTATGCTTAATACATAAATCCATGTCAATTACAAAATAATTTTATCATACGCATCATAAAATATGTCATTATATATAATTTATTTATAGTGTCGTTGTATATAATAATTTATTTATTT